ATCGAGGGCGTAGACGCCGCCCAGGCGCTCGGAGGAATCATTGCCGTGGGAGATGAGTTGTGTAATTTTATTGTTCACGGAACCGTAAATCATGTTGAACTGTTCGATGGGGAGGTCTGGAGGAGGCGGAGGGTCAGCCAAGTTGTACATGATGGCGAATTTGGCGCTTCCGCAGAGCGATGGAGAGGGAGTTGTGGTGTTGAGGGGAAACTTGGGACTGCTTACCTCGATGGCAGACCAGCACCAGGTCTCTGAGCTGGAGAGCCGCCCGCTTTCGAACATCGTCAGAGGTCCTTGGGAAATGTCAGTTTCTGCAGGTGCCATATTCAAGCTCCTTGTCGCATCCCCAGAGTGGGGGCAAAGCAACAGAGGTAGGAGCAGAAGGGGGAAGGGGGGACAAACCGTGATCTGAGGTCTCTGACAATATTGTCGAGTCGCTCGAGAGCGATCTGCTGTTGGGTCGCCATGGCTCACTGGCTGGCGCACCCGAGCGTTCGAGGATCAGAATGGGAGAAACATCGACTACAGGTCGGGGATATGGATTGCTGGTCGTTCGAAGAGGAGGGGGATCGCAAGTGAGGAACTAGTTGGCGGTGGTGGTGATCGTGGGAGGAGTGGTGGTGATCGTGGGAGGAGTGGGCGCGCTGTTGGACGCGAAAGAAAGGGCTGCAGCTGGTGCAGCAGTCAGCAGTTCGTTCACTGCTTGCCGTGGGGATAGAAAGAATAAAAACAACAAGGTGTGAATGGCTGCACAGAAAGAAAGGCCAAGTGACGAAGGTGCCCTGCTGAATGGGGGACGAGGCTGAAGGTTGCGGTTGTTTGAGCCAGGACCAGACCAAGACGGGAACCTGAGCCAGTGGAGGTGCAGTCCAGCCGGGTCAGTCTGCAGTGACAGAAAGTGCGACACTGGAACGCTGGAGTGGAGGGTCAACCGTGCTTGCCTCCCCCCCAAAAAGGTGGTACACCTGGAGGACCCACTGTGCCGTTGCTGCCAATTCCTAAAACCCACCCTGCCGAGGCGCATTGCTGACCTGAGCTACCCCAGCTTCAATTGGGTCCTAGGTAGGTCGAGGTGCCCAAGCCGTCTTACATAATACTCTGTCGACCGATAAGATAAGCATTCAGCGAGCAGTCGCGACTCGACGTCGCAACTTTCTGATCGTGTCACGGAGCCAGATCCAATGCTTTCCACTTATTTTAGGAATTTCAGTCATCCCGCGCAGGCTATGAACCTTGTGATCTGACCAATTCGTACGCATCAACAGCGGCAGTACCATCAGTGGAGACTACGAACAAGCCCAACGCAAGCGATCATGGGTAACGATGGAGGATCAATTCCTAAGCGCCGCGAGCTCGTCAAGGAGGCTGCGCGCGCCCTCACCGTCAGCGAACTAAAGGCCAACGCCCTCGAGTCCCTCGGCCACGCCTGGGCCAACGACCCTCTCTCCAACGAGCCCCTCGGCAATGAAAATGTCGTATCCGATTGGCGCGGCCGCCTCTACAACTACGAGACCATCCTGCAGGGCCTCATGCCCTCTGATGACGCTGCCGCCACACCCAATCCCGACTCTCCAGAGCTCACGTTTGCCTCCACCGGCATCAAGTCGCTGCGTGACATTGTCAAGCTCAAATTCCACCAATATTCCCCGCCGGGCTCGAAGAAGGCCATCTGGGCCTGTCCTATCTCGTTGAAGGAGCTGGGTCCCTCTGTCAAGGCCGTCTATCTCGTGCCGTGCGGCCATGTTTTCGCGGAGGTTGCTATCAAGGAGATTGGAGAGTCGACATCAACATGCCCCGAGTGCAGCGAACCCTTCGAGGCCAAGAACGTCGTCCCCATACTGCCCACAGAGGAGGCGGACCTGAAGAAGCTTACGGAGAGGATGGGCGACCTCATCGCGGCCGGGCTGACGCACGGGTTGAAAAAGGAAAAGAAGGATAAGAAGGAAAAGAGCAAGAAGAAGCGCAAGGCCGAGGATGTCGACGCCAAGGATGATGGTGAGGCACCCGAGAAGCGGAGAGCGACAACTACCACAGACAGCGTCAAGTCGAAAACGAGAAACATCAACAACCCCATGGCTGCCTCGTTGACAGCCAAAGTCATGGCTGAACAGGAGGAGCTGAGCAAGCGAAGGAAATTGGCGGCAAAGGCCTAGGTGGACAAAGTATCATACTGCTGGTCTAAACTCGTAAAATACTCTTAAATGATACCCCCGATACTGCGACATCCTTCAATGGAGTGGACGGGACCCTATCCCTTTCCTGGTCCTCGTGCCTACCTCTACATGCCAATCTTTTTCGGGACTTTGCTCATCACCTCATATCTCTCACATACATCATCCTAGTCAGTCATTTCGTGCAGACGCATGTCAATATGTGGCAAGGGCTCTACAATCAGATGACTGATCAACGTTTTGATGATTCCTAATGCAGACCTCTACGTCTAAGTCACCCTGACGCCAAGCTAAGCAATCCAGATGCTGTTCTTTGTACATGCAGTCCCCCATTTTCACCCCTCTTACAACTCGTCCTTGGACTTGGGCTCAGGGGGCTCAAGCAGGTCGTCGCAGGCAGCAGGCGTGCCCACCTCCATCTTGTAGACGCACTTCTCCGACTCGGACACCTTCCACAGCTCCTCTGTCTCGCTGCAAGCCAGCCAGACGTCGGTGCGTCTCTGGGGTCCGTTCCAGCAGCCCTGACCGTTCTCGAAGCGCATGACCATGCGGAGACCCTTGCCCAGGCTCTTGCCATCGGTGCGCTCCTCGTCGTCGGCCATCTCCCGGTCGATGCGGACGAAGTTGCCCATGTTGGTGTTGCCGTGGCCCTTCTTGGACTTTTGGTTCGTCTTGTCCATCCAGCAAAGCTCGTACTCGTACTCGCCAGCCTCGGTGCTGACGCACTTTTGGCTCAGAACACGGAAGATGTCGTCGGTGCCGTAGTCCTTCTCGAGATCCTTCTCCTCGTTCTCGAGCTGACGGCGCTTTTCGCTGAGGTCGTTGTTGGCGGCGTTGAAAGCATCACGGGCGACGGTGACGAGGCGAGACTCGGAGCCGGCGGGGGTGTTATCAACCATCAAGCCGTTGTCAATGAGCCAGCCACGAATGGCGGTGACCTTGTCGCGTACAAACTCGCGGGCGGGAGCAGGCAGGTAGGCCTCAAAGTTGTAGACTGGTTTGGTTAGCTGGGTTCCATAATTGTTAGCTCAAGGGTACGTACGGATGTCAGTGTCGGAGCCCTCAGCCTCCTCGAACTCCTTCCAGTTGATGCCAGAGCTCTCATTGTCCTCGACCAGGACCTCCCTGATGTCAGCCTCGAGATCGTCCGACTTGGTCTCGGTGACGGAGTTGGCAGAGTAGTCCTCGAATCCCTTGACGGCGCGCTTAACGCCCTCGTCGTTGAAGTTGGGGTTGTACTCTTCCTTGAATCTTCTCAGGATGCCCTCAAGCTCGCCGACCTTGTTGCGGAGGTCGTCACGCTGGGCAACGACGTCTTCGAGGGTCTCGCGGAGCTCAGCGACGCGGCTCTTGGCCAGGTTGACGAGAGTGCCAAGCTTTCCACCGGAGCCCTCGCCCTTGACGACCTTGCCCCGCTCGGAACGCTCTGTCTCGTGGAGCTTCTGCTCAAGCTCCTCCTTCTTGGTCTCTAGGTTCTTGACCTCCTCCTTCAAGCTGTTGACCTTGACCTCGACACGGCGGCGAAGCTCCCTGGACTCCTTGGCCATCGTCTTGCGTCTCTTACCAGCCTTGTCGATGGCCGCCTTCCTCTCAGCCTCGACGCGGCGGAACTCCTTGCCGATCTCGTTGCACTTGTTCGGGCACTTGACGCCTCCGACCTTACCATACTCCTCGGTGCCATCACAGCAAATGTCGTAGTCGCAATGGCCGTCATTGACGTACATGAAGGGGACGTAAGCTCCGATGTGGCCCTCATTGGCGCACCAGAATCCCGGGAGGGCAGTGGCCGTGCTGGTTGTGCCTGTCTTGGAGCCGACGAAGGGCTGGGGAGGAGAGAGGGGGTCGAGGTGGGCGCAGGCGGAGGTGCCAGGCTCATCGGAGCCATCTGGACAGTCGCAGGTGTTGTCGTTGATTTGCTTCACGCTCAGCTTGATTTCGGGGTGGGTGATGCAGGTGAAGGAGTCCTTGGACTCGAAGTACTTGGCAACTGGTGGGAAGCATGTTAGTGGGTTCAACAACGGACGATATGACCCCAGAGAGACAAAGAGGCGGCATTGGCGTGGGATCAATGAGCCATGGAAATTTGCCAGTCTTTGTAAAGCTCTGAGAGGTCCTACTGGGGCGGCCTTGGTGATTGAACTCACATTCTGGACCGACACCTCTGGGCAGGTTGTTGGCAGAAACCGGGGCGGCTGCCGACAGGAAGGTGCCAACAAGCACCACACTGTAGCTTTGACGCATCTTTGGATTCTCAGGGCCTAAAAACCGTCATTCATGAGTAAATTCGGTCTTGTTGTTTCGAGAAACGAAGGAAGGAAACGGTGGTAAAGCTGGCCAGATCCAGTCCAGATGCAAGACTGGAGACGGGAAGGTGTCGGTAAGGTACAGATATGGGATACGCTGTTGCTGTTGTCGTGGAACTTCCAGCTCACCCAAAACGCCGTAGTGGGTTCGAGTCCCCAGCGGCTTACAGGGGGGTCGGAGTTGGCGCCCAGGCGGTGGAAGCTGCTGCAGGGACAGTCACGTGAACAGTGGGTCAGGCCTGGCGCAGATGGGACGTCATTGGACAGCTGTCGCGCAGCAGCAGGTGCAGCTCAGGGAAGGAGTACCGGGCACTGGCAGGCGGGAGGAAGGGACGGTGAGGGAACTCGAGAGGGAAGAGGCAGGCGGTACGTACCTCAAGATACCCCTCCAAATCGCGGGGCAAAATGTTTTTTGCTGTCGACCATCTCGAGTCTCGTCATTGAAGGGTTCCTGTTCCCAGAGCCGTGTTTCTGCCAGCTCGACATCTCCTCCAGACCAAGTATTTTTCTCGCAAAGGCCGAAACGATGTCTTCATCAACCGCCAACACCCCCGCAGCGCTGAACGCGCTCTGCGACACGGCCATCGCGTTGATGAAGCAGTTGGAGGCCGTTTGCCTCTCCATCAACGCCGGCAAAGATGACTCCCAGGCTGCATCTTCTTCGACTTCCTCCGTCGACCCTCTCGCCCTCGCAAACGACTCCGCATCTTTGATCAAGGCGCACTCGACCAAGATCTCCGTCCTCATTATCAACGAGCCCTTCACACCTTCCGCCATCGGCAAAGTCGTGCGCGAGCTTGTCGCCGGCCCTATCCCTGGTATCGCGACCGCCGCCCAGTCATGCGACGCCGAGCGCTACACTGCCACAGTTCGCAAGGACTTGTCATGGAAGTGCTACACTGTGCTCAAGGAGCTGCGCGGGCTGGTCGAGAAGATCCCCAGGGACGGCAAGATTCTGTCTGACGCCCAAAAGAGTGGCTCTGCCACTTCAACCGGCAAGGGAAGCATGGCGGCCACGGGTGTCATCTGGGCGGAATGCGACGCGGTCATGAACTTTTACAAGGGCGGCATCGGCGGCTGCTTCATCCAGAAGGTCGAGGAGTTCAGGGCAACACTCAAGGATGTTATGGAGGAGCTCAAGGAGTGGGGCGAGGAGGAACCCGAGGATGACGACGACAGCGACGCCGACGAATTCGACCACGATTCCGCGCTGGGCTCCATGATGCCGTCCACGCAGGAGCTCATCGACGATATGATGAGCGGATCACAGGCGATCCCTCGAGACGACCCCGACAAGATCCGCGACCGTCTCGAATCCTGCTTGAAACGACTCAGGCTCACCACGCTCCTCTACCAAGCCATCGTCAAGAGACGCTTCAAGACGTTGCCGTCGCTGCCTGTCGAAAACTCGGACATTCCGATACGTCTGGATGAGTCCATGCGTATCCTTCGAAAGCTGCCTCACATGTTTGATGAGCTGGCGGGCGCTTTCTACGACCTCTCACCTGACGAGATCGATCGCGTTATGAATTTGTGCTTTGACGAGATTGTTGCCCTCTCGGACCAGCTGAAGGCGCCATGGAGCGGAGACAAGGACGAGTTTTCCGAGTGGGCTGTCAAGTTCCAGGGCGAGATCAAGAAGGGCTGAGTGTTTTTCATCAGCTTGCCCGCAAGCGCGGGCTCAGCTACAGATTCGCACGGGAACTAAGGCAGCAGGCTCACCCACCCGCCACCACCACGCGGTTGTGACTTGCATGCCACACCGCAGACGTCGGCCGTCAAACAAGCTCAGGGCTGTTATCTTCTAGACCATGACTGGAACCGAGGCCATGATTGGTCATTTGACGCCACTCGTATTGGTGGTCGCGAGGCTGCGCCATCTGAGACATGGTGTGGAGGGGACATCACCTGGGGATGTGGGGGAATCGCGGTCACGGGCAGGCAAAATGTCATCTGCTGCACCGCACACCTGTCGTGCCTTGCCGCTGCCTGGCGAGAGATGGAGGATGTATATATAGATATCCCAGTCAATATGATTGTGGTGAATAGAGCATGTCAATCAAACGCAAGTATGCCAGAAGAACAAATCGCCCACGTCGATGACCAGATCGATGAGCAGGTTATGAAAGGGGAGACGGGCGAGCTTCCCCGAGGGGTGCCCAGTGGAGGAAAGAAGTTGAAGGCCGCAGTATGGACTTTTCCCGCCGTCTCGAGCGTTGCATGCACTGACATGATGTCCAGATTATCGTCGTGACCGTCACTGGGAAGATTGCCCAGATCGCGACCAACATTCTCACCCTGCCATATTACCGCTTCTACCAGCAAAACACTCTGCTGCCAATTCTTTCCATCGCCAAAACCGTCGAGAATGAAGAGACTGATCAGGAAATATCCGCGGAGCTCCAAAGATGGCGGGACCGAAAGCTGAGCGAGTTCCAGCTCGTGCAAGTCGCCGTATGTTCACATCTCACCATCGGTCTCATCACATACTGACAACCTTTAGAGTACCTTGGTGTCGGCGGCCGTGATCGGGACCTTTTCCTGGCCAACTCCCGACGCCCTGCACTGGCTCACCCCGGCTTTCTGGTACGCCAGCATCTCACTCTCGCTCTTCGCCATCCTACTCGCATCCTCGGAGCAGTTCATCTTCCAGACGATCCACCGCTCTCCGAAGCGGCGCAACATCGACAAGGAGCTCGCGATGATTCTCTACATCCGCCGCAGCAGGTCCGTCGACCCGGTGCATTCGCCTTTGGAAGAAGTCCCGCCGATCCCCCAGATCCGCGCGATCAAGCTGGCTGAAGAGGGGGGCTGGTTTCCAAAGGAGATGCCGCTGGTGGAGATCCGCTGGAACATGATTTTCACCTGGCAGGCGCCCATGATGCTCATGGCGTACTCAGCGCTGTGCTTCCTGGCCGGGCTGACGGTGTATGTCTGCGCGCCCCTGTATGATGGCCAGGGATGGGGCGACGGAGGCAAAGTGAGTGCTTTTATTCACGCTTCATGAAAGCTGCTAACAATACATAGGCTGCCGTGTTTTACCTCGTCAGCTTCTTCTTCTGCGGACTCACCTTCATTTGGTGTGCATACTGGGCATACAAGTTTGTCGACTTGGAGGACCCTTAGGCACGTCACTTTCCCTAGATAAGATGCGATCGGATAGCGGCACCATGGATGCCCATGCAATCATGCACTAACTCACCGGATGACTCACGCCCGCAGCATTTGAGGTTGGCGACGAGATCTAGATTGAAGCCCATAGACATACATATAGATAGACTTGTCGAGTCGCGAAACAAGATCTCTCTTCCTACACAAATCCCCAAGACCATATCAGCTACTGCTCCAAATCCTGTCGTAAAAACGATGCCATGCCCCGTGGAAGAGATCGTCAAAACCTATGAAGATGATCCAACAATAGTACAACGCATCGCAACGCGCAAGACTAAACTTCCGCTCGCGATCGAGCCCCCAAACCCGGCTTGGCCCGAACACTTTGAGTTCCTCAAGGCCCGCATAATCGGCGCCATCGGCCCCACGGCCGTGAGCATCTCCCACGTCGGCTCAACCTCCGTCCCGAACCTCCCCGCCAAGGCCGTCATCGACGTTGACCTGGCGATTACGAACCCGACGGCCGAAGATGAGTACGCTCCTGCACTGGAGGCGGCCGGTTTTCAGTTCCTCTTACGCGAGCCCGAATGGCATGAACATCGATTCTTCGCGATGAGTGAGCCGTATTTCTGCAACCTGCATGTCTTCAAAGTCGGGACGGCGGAGATGGAGAGGCACTTGGTTATGAAAGAATGGCTCATGACGCACGAAGATGACAAGGAATTGTATGCGCAGGCTAAGATTGATGCTGCGGGGGTGAGTAACGGGCTGGGTGAGACGGTGGTGGAGTACAATTTCCGCAAGGAGAATGTCATTCGGGAGATTCTCGAAAGGGCTTTCCGCGCAAAGGGGTATCTTCCCGATGTCGAGAAGTGACTTGTGCTTCAAGGAAGATGTCAAGTTAGGCTCTTTCTCTTTCGCTGTCAAGCTTGATATTCGGGTCAAAATAGTATTCCCTCAGGAGTGCACTAGTAAAACGAGATAATTACGCAGCACATAGCTGGGCATTCAAATCATGCAATCAGTGCTGCAGCTGCAGCGCTGCGATCGCTGGGCATGCGCACTTATATTCGCACGGTCACAACCAGGTGTGTGGCCCCATTGAACGACACCAACCAATGACGCCCACCTCCAACCACAGACAAGTGATTTGAGAATTGCCACAACCCTGTGGTATTTCTGGTATTTATTGCTTTTGTCACTATTCTAATTATATTGTGCGTTTCTGTCTTCGGTCCAGACAAAGGTCCACCTAAAAGCCAACCCGAGTCCAAGTGCAGCGAGTCAATCAAAGCGTATTCTTGCCGGTTTCCTTGGAATCCTAGACGGGTCAGAATCAACCCAGAAAGGCGTCCGGGATGACAGAAGAGAAGAGCGGAAAAGAGAGCCAACGGCGGGCCAGAGCCACAGAGACGGCGGCGGCAGAAACGGCAACGAGCAGGGAAGCCAAGCAAGGAAAATGAACAGTGGTGACAGACGAGGGCAGTGACAGCCAAAACAAAGACGAACGAGGAGTGAAGAGAAAGACGAACGTCAGAGACGATGGATGGCATATTCGACAGCGGAGACAGTAACGACAGCAACAGCAGCAGCGGGGATGGGTGAACACGATGGAGACGAAGAGAAACAACAACAAACATACCTTTTGCTACCTAGGGATGAACCCATGTGTTGGGACGCTCTTTGGTGCCTCTTGCGTCCTTACCTATTCAACGTCGTTCAGCTCAAGGTTCCGCTTTCTTATGCGCACAAGATGATCTCCTCTACAACCCTTTGCCAGTACTGTCAGGCAGTGTTATTTTGGATTCATCGAAAGTACACGGAGAGGACGATGAAGCCTCCGACAGGCAGTTTTGTCTTCAGCCAGATGACAGAAATGATACATGCTCTTGCTATTTGTTCCAATCTTGTCCGTATCAATGCTGGGCTGGATTCCAAAGTCAACGTTGGCCTTGACGATATTTGCCAACTCATCGACTGAGACGTACAGAATACCGTGTGGATCGAGGTGTCTGGGCAGCATCATTTTGCCATCTGCCTGGCACAAGCCTGCGCTCTGCGATCCGGCTCTCTAGGTCCCAACGCCGCTGACAAGTATCACGGCCCTAGGCCCGCCGACAAGCTCGCCTATCTCGCCTGGCAAGACATTCGCATGACGAACAGTCATCAACACGGCGCATGGACTGTTCGGGTTCATGTCGCCTCTCCCCTGCAGCAGTCGAACTTGTCATTGCCAGCTCCTCATCGGCTACTAGTTATCGGAATCCGCCGCGGTGTTTTTGAGAACAAATCATCGATTGAAGAGCTCTTTGACAGCGATCTGCATGTTATCACTGTCAAGCCCGACTTCCTCGAGCAGCCAATTTTGATTGCCCGCCAAGCCCAAGGTTGCTGGTCCCGTGGCCGACAACAGTCCGCTCCCAGCTCCCTCACTGATAAAGTGGCTCCAACGACGCGCCGAGGCAATGGGATGGCCTGGCTCTGTGACATTCTATAGCATCAGACGGCAATAAGCTGACACCTACGGAGCAATTCTGTGCAATACTGATGCGCGCGCGCTGATGTGTCACGATCCGGATAGCTTTACGTTGGAGAGGTTTTACATCGATAGACTTCAGAATATCGACATCTCTGCCGTCACCCTGGGTGAAACTATTGGGGCAAGAAAAACCGACCAGTTCATGAAGCTAGAGGCAAGCGCAGGCTGCACCCTAGATCGGCTGCCTGCAGCCAAATCATTCAGCTCTACGGTCCTGAATTGAAAGCGCTGACCCATCAGTACATTCGCCAAGACAGAGAGTACTCCACGCTGTCCAGGGCCGAGAAGAGGAACCGGGATCGCGTCCTCAAGCTTTCCTTGCTTTACGCCGTGAGATGATCAATCGTCACCGACGCAACCAGACCCAGAAGGAGCGCAACATTCGAACTACCGAGATTCTGATCCACGCGACGGATTTCAATAAACGGCTCGTCCAGGCGTTCAACTCCGACGAAGCAAAGCAGCCAGAAGACGTCAGAGATTTACGAGATGATCAACTCGACGATGACTTTCCTGAACCCGATGACGATCGCGATGAAGACGAGATTGACGACGGCGACAACACCGGAGAAGACGAAGATAATGCTGGTTGGAATGATACAAACACCGGACAAGCTTCGGTAGAAGCCTATCTGGTCACCATCCAGGGGTTTCAAAGCCTAAAATGACAAAGAAAACTGTTCTAGAAGATTCTTCTTACAGCATCTGACGAGATCTTACTATTTAAATCTTTCTACAGTTGAGTGAAGCTATTCAGACTCTTGGAGTATTACACCGATGAATTCTGTCCTATCCAAACCAACATTACAAACGCCAAAACAAACCACATTCAAAATGGCAAATACGAAAATCAATTTTCATAGATTATGCTGCAACTGACTTCCCACGCACATCACCAATCTGGTCACTATTTCCCCAGGGCTTGGCGCAAGTGTTTCTGACTGAAGCTTTTGTCTGGCTAGTCAGGTATACCTAATACATCAATAATAATGCATCCCTCTGTTTCTAAGATTCACCCAGTCCCGGATGCCAGTCAGGACAGTAGAAAACAGGCAAGAATGCAGTCACCGACACGTGCCACAGTCACCAAGTGGCCACGAGAGACTGAGTAACCCATCCGGCCGCCGCCCGAAGCCCGACGGTCTTTTCAAGGCCGAGCCGTAGGCATCACCCTCCGAAGTGTTTCATCGACGAATTGCTTTTCCCCAAACTGACGCCGGCCACCCAACGGTCTTTGACTCAGGGCGGTCAATGCGGCTACCAGCCAAGCGCTGGCATTCCCCGCCGTGCTACTGGCCAGGCGGCATCCGGATCCGGCTTGTTGACGTCACCAAGTGCGACAGCCTCTCTCGTAAAGCCCGAATTGGACTCGGACTACGGACCTCAAGCATCGCCGAGGGTCTCTGTTCTAACGGCGCCGATGGCATCACCATTCTTTCGCGCATGTACCGCGACGCGAACCGGTTCATGTTGACAGGTTGTCGTCTATTATATTTTTTTTTAAATTTGTATAATACTGATGCTGCCCAGCTGGCCTGGTCGGAAATGTTTATCTTCTCGGTAAGAGCCTCGAAACTCGTTTTCAAACCTTCTCCAACCCATTACATCACGACTATTCATCACACATGTCTTCACAATCTGCTCTCAAAGTCCTCATCATCGGCGGCGGCATTGGTGGCCCTGCGCTCGCGTATTGGCTAGCGAAGCTGGGTCACGATGTCACCGTCGTCGAAAGAAACCCGTCTCTGCGCGCCCAGGGCCAGCAGATTGACATCCGCGGTCAGGGCGTGTCCGTGATCCGCCTGATGGGCATCGAGCCCGAGATTCGCGCAAAAGGCGTCGACGAGGCAGGCCTTCGCTTCGTCGACCAGAACGGCAAGACGGTGGCCACCTTTGAGGCGAATAAGTCTGGTACCGGCAAGCAGAGCTTCACATCAGAATTCGAAATCATGCGCGGGGACTTGGTTCGCCTTCTCTTCAAGAGCACAGATGAGCTGGGCGTCAAGTACATCTTTGACAACTCTATTGCGTCGTTTGAACAAGATGCCGACTCGGTCACAGTGAAACTGAGCAACGGTCACACCGACAAGTATGATCTGGTGGTGGGAGCCGACGGCCAAGGCTCGAAGACCCGGAGACTTATGCTCAACGGAGAAAAAGACCCCTTTGTCCCGTTCAAGCTGCACTCGGCGCTGTTCACGGTGCCGAGGGAGAAGACCGACGACAATTACGCGACGGTCTGCGTTGTGCCGAAGCAGAGGATGATGATGAGGAGGAGTGACAACCCCGAGACCAGCCAGGTGTATTTGGGTCTCGTGCCACAAGACAAGGAAACCGACAGGCTTCTTCAGGAGTCGCAGAAGAACCGCGACCTTGACATGCAGAAGCGGCTATGGATTGAACTCTTCAAGGATGCTGGCTGGCAGACGCCGCGATTTATCGACGGGCTTGAGGCGGGGGGTGTGTCTGACGACTTTTACAACTTCCAAATCGGCCAAGTCAGGATGGACAAGTGGTACAAGGGTCGCGTCGTACTCCTCGGCGACGCAGGCTATGGGCCGAGTCCATTGACTGGCAGCGGTACGACGTCGGCATTTGTTGGCGCGTATGTCATGGCCGGTGAGATTTCGAAGCACTGCACCGGCGATTCCGCGAAAGCAGGAGTGCCCGCTGCTCTGGAGGCGTATGACAAAACCCTGCGACCATTCATGAAGACCGTGCAGGATATTGCGTGGCGGCCGAACTTGCTGTACCCGAAGTCGGCGTTCGGAATCAAAGTCCTCAATACTGTTCTCTGGCTCGTCTGCACTCTCAAAATCGACAAGCTGTTCCAGAGACTGCAGTCGGACGACGTCAAGGGGTGGGAGCTTCCTGACTATCCTGCGTTGCCGGTGAAGGGAACCAAGAAGAATGCGTGATGGTCACACGGACGATGTCTTTCTAGCTGCTCAACTGCAGACGAGATCTTGCGCAACTGAATCCTTTGGATCCGTAGTGGGTTTCTCGGCCTTGTCATTGGAATAATGTGTTTTCGATTAGTACTTCGGAGTTATCATGGAATGGACAAGCTGAAGCTGGCTCGAGGTTTAGGAACGTACGGAAAATAGGCGCGTCGTTGGATTTTACTCAAAGTAGTGTTCGTCTTGTGAATCTGGCCTTACAACGATCTTTCTCGTCCCGAACCTTGCAGCGGATGCAGGATGATAAACTTCCCGTGACAGCCGATTGCTACCCGGTAGATGTGCAGTAGGCAACATCGGAATTATCCTCCGTTGAGATCAAACCTAGTCTGACAGGTTACGAGGGGCAAGGCTGCCTTGCAATCATCGTGGTTGGCATTGTGGTTGCAGCTGCGAGAGCATTTCCTCGCCCGCACGCGTACATAGGTGACAATGTCGGTCGGTCACGTCGTGGACCACACCTCATCACAACCGAGGTCTTTATCGTAGCTTGAGTTGAAGGAACAAACAGAACACTCAGATTGGACATCGAATGTTCAAAAACATGGTTGTAGAGTTCATTGGTAGCGTCGGATCGCTCTCCAGTTGTGTGCAGGAATTCGGCTGCTGATGTTGGGCGGCAGATATTCCTTGAACAATTCCAGCTCGCAGACGGTCGCAAGTGCCCCCAGCTGGACTTTGGAAGGCACGGACCCCACTTTCACACGAACCGTGCGCTCCGGACACGTCGGCGACAAAAAAACGGCGTCCCAACATGAGCATCATGTCCGGACACGATGCATCATCAAAACACCACAACAGCATCACGGTATCAACAGATGCGGAAAAAATAAGGATAGAGGGTATTGAACCCAACCCGATTTGAACGGATAACCTTTCGATGTCTCGCTGGAGTCGAACGCGCTACCGTTGCGCCATGGGTCCTTGTTGGAGCTTGTGAGCGACATCTCAACTCAAGAAGCATTCGTGCGGGGTTTGCGGGGCCACAACAACTGCAGTGGGGCCCCTAGGGTAAATTTGGGCCCCTCTACCACTAACGGACTCGAAAACCCCAGAAAGAGTTGAGTCTTCGTTGTGCGCGGGGTCATTTTCGGCCGAGGTGGCTTGATGTCGCTTTCGATGTTCGGTACACCTTTTCTCAACCATTTTCAGTGCTTAGAACGCGTGACTTCTTCAGCGGCTTGATAAAAGCTCGAGATTTCATTGACATGAATGCCTAGTTGTGTGCTGCTTGCTTTACCGGTACACTCGGTATGAGCGCGACTTGAACCGAGATTCAAGTTTATCAGCAGAAAGGACAGAACCTCGCCCACAAACTCTTTAGTATATCTATCGGTTTCCTGCATCGAAAAAGCACCCCTTAGCCCGTAATGCCGTCTCAAGAATCTCCCGAACGTCATGTTGCTTCAAAGGTCCTTGTCGAAGAACATGAGGATAATGTGAATCATGGAGCGTGCGTGTGGGGACGGCGGCGTACCTCAGGTACTACCACTCAGCTCCAGTGGGCAACACAGCTGTCAGAATCGTGCCAGCTGCAACTTTTCCGTTCGTAGCTTCAGTTTTGGCGCGGAAATTTGATCGAAGGGAGATTGCCAGCACAACAATGAACACCGCGCCGGCTCCTGCAAGTACGACGTCGGTAGGAAACAAACTGGGACACGAACTATTAGCTATGTTGTTTCCGGTGGCTAACGTAGCGTTGGATGACTGGTGATCCAAGAGCCTCATCCAATGACGTAGGATATTGATCTCAAAGCAAAATGCCTCTTCAGAACCCAGGCACCTTGGCGCCTTCCAAATCGAAGCCACAGCTATCACTCTTAGATGCTGATGAGTCTTGTTTAGGGTGCATTGTGTTTTCAAGTCTATTCCGATCATCTGACTACAATAAAACAACAGGAAGCCACCTGTGTGTCGGTCCTCTTTCAAAAGTTCGTTCCAGGTAACGCCCATCACATCCATGATTCCCTCATGTCCTTTCCATCAAAGTCGAACCCCTTGCAGATTTTCCTGCTCACTTGTGGCGGTCCTTGAGCCGATCAGAGATGAGGTGACCATCCCCCGGCATGTTGCGCAAAGTGCCTGGACGAGCGACTCAACACGCTCCACGTGGAGGCTCCGTAACCGTTGGCTTCCATCCTGGGGAGCCTGGAGGAGGTGCGTTGGTGATCACGCCAGGAATGGGCTTGATAGGTGGCTTGTAGCCGGACGAACCAGGCGCAGCGCCAAAAATGATACCGGGACCCGGGTTCTCGAGGTCCTCGCCAACAACTTGGCCAGGCTGGGCCCAGACGATTCCCGATTGTCCCGGCACAGGCACGGGCTGCTCGAACTTGCGCTTGCAACTGTCGGACTTCTGCGCCTCTATCTTGCGAGCAGCAAGTTGAGTCTTGGCTCGCTGTGTGGCGCCCCTGATCACAAAACGGTTAGCAATTTCAAACGAAGATGGGGCGGGATGCGGAACCACTGACATCTTCGCATTCGAGGATGTGTTCACCTGCCAGTTCTCGTCGTCCCAGCTGGCCTCAGCCTTGAGCCTGTCGTGCTTGGCACTGTTCTCCGGAGTGGTCCAATCATTCTTGCCCGTGATGTTCGTGCTGTTTGAGCGCCATATGTGCAGAGTCAACTTCTTCATGGCCTTGAAAGTCTCAGAATCGCCCGCGGCCTCCAAACAGTAAGGACATGTGAAGTCGCGGTCGTTAGGATCCGCTGCCATTCCCGCGTCACGATCCTGGTGAGTGCGTCTAATCCACTGTTTGTAGGGGGTGTGGAAATCACTGGGCGACATGCTCGCGGAGGTGTCCAACGGTGTAGGTGTGTCTCTTCCTGTCATCGTCAACACTGTCGTTCTCCTCGCATAGGGCGCATGTTTCCATCCCCTGAGGCCGATACTGGCCGAGTTCATGCGACATGATGAGATTCATGGCGATCTTGGCTGCTGTTGCGTAGGGAATATCGGCAGCAGCTTCGATGTAATTGACAGCAGCATCGGCGAAGTCTGTCTCCTCCGGGACGTTGATAGTGACATCGCGATCTTCTTTTTGATCTTCAGCATTTTGTTCTTCGGCAAGAACAATGTTCGTTGCTGGAAGCCCACCTTGAACTCTCCTCATCGGGAGGTGCACCTTCCCCTTCCAGAACCCAGAATAGCGCTCCTTCCAGAAAAGAAGACGAAAGAAAATATTTTCACTTGGCTCCTCAAAAATGAATAACAAAGTCAGACCTAAGGCTCCCCCAGTCTAATTCTCAAGTCCAGCTTCGCTGCGCGCTTTGGTCCATTCAACTACAACATCTTCACAAACAGCTGATTTGGTCTTTCTTTCACCTCCTCTCACAGCTGCTTCGTGAACACAAGTGAAATTTAGCAACTTGGCATCAAGTACTCTACGCATGATGAGTGGAAGCGCAGACACCAAGGACACGCACAGTCAGTATTACCCTAATCGGCAGCAGACTTGACTTTTCACGCTAATCACTCTTTCCACAGAGGGATGCAGCTCTCAGACGGCCTCACCTGAGATGCGGAACTTGATTCTCGAAAAGCTCACTGTGCTCAGAGTGCAGAACGATCATTTGATCCAGCAGAATATGATCATGATCCACCAAAACCAGGTCATGATCAATAACAACATGACTGTCGTCGAAACCCTCAAGAGCATGACCAGGTTGGTTTTATTTTCCTTTTAATGGCATATGATCCAATTGCTGACCATCTTCCCGGCAGTCCCGCTACAAGCACCCCTGACAAACCCGACACGCCTGTCAATGACACCGAGGGCAAGGGCAAGGAGCTGCCCTCCAAGGCTGACAACAATCACTGATCTCGTTGCACGCTTGCATTTGATGTCTCTGGATTCTTATCAAAGGCATCTCGAGGATCTGGATAGCGAGTCACACTACGCGCGGGCTCATGCCCAAGGATCGAACAACTTCACAAGGAGATTAGCCAATACTCCAATACCTAGCTTCCACGACAGAAGTCAAGGTACTTTTATTTACATAGCTAGGGAAATCAAAGCTCGGTTGTTCTGACACAGCCACTAAGACCTCCAAATTAATTACATGTGTACAAAGGGATAAGAGCTAAAGCGCCAAGCTACCTGGCCACCACCGTTGATGACACCGGTATCAAATATAGCTCATGGAAGATCATTCAGAATCCACGAGAAAGTCTCTTTCTCATCATCTTACAAAAGCAGGGCAAGTACACCGACAATACCTGCCAAGCTCATGCCCTTGATAGCAGCACCTGCTGTGGGAACAGTGCTCGGCATCATGGTACCTGTAGCCGTTGCCATCGACGTGGCTGAGCCGGACATGGTAGCTGTAGCGTTCATCATACCTCCTCCAGTAGCATTCTTCGGTGCGACAGCAGCTTCATAGCTCGCGCAAGTCGAGTTGGGCGAGATGGGGCAGCTGTTCTCGATGCAGATCGCCTGGAGCTGGGGTCCCTGTGCAGGAATGGCAGTGACTGGCGGGCTGCAGCGCATACCAAAGAGCTGGGAAAGCGCCTTTCCGACTGCTTGGAGGTCGTCTTGAGCAACGCCGAAAGAGGCAGCCGCCATAGCCACCTGCTGAATAAAGTATCCAAGCTCGTTCATGTCTAGGTCCATGAACTTGTGGACCTGGTACATGGATGCATGTCCGTCATAGCCAGGGAAGCCAGTCATGCCGTACTGGGAGCAGCCAAGCAGGGAACCGAAGAATTGGTAGAGATGGGTCAAGAGGAAGCTGGGAAAGATCGTTTGTTAGCCTCATAATGGTTGTCAAAGATGTCGCACGGCTACATACTATTGATTAGACTTGTCGTCGTTCGCCGGCATGTTCTTCATCAGTGGCGCAGCGCCACCCCCATCAAGGAAGTTGACGGAAACGCCAGAGCTGCCACCGCGGTTGGACGAGGCCAGGTCGCCGTTGAAGTATGGCAGCAGATTGACTTCAGCGCCGTTGTAAGTGCCCGCCGCAAGAATGCCAGGAACTTTGACACCGACGTTTGGCATCGTATCTATTGAGACGAGTAAGTCATCTGCAAAGGTGGACTCAGGTGATTAAGCTCACAGTTTCCAATCACCACTGTGTTGACCAGAAGAGTCAACAGAGTGTACTGGTTTTCGGCCGTGTTATTCTTGAGAAGTGCTGTGGTATAGTAGTCGCAAATTGGAGTATCAGCTGGACGCTGAGCGGCGACACTGCTGGCCGCAGCCAGGGCAACTGAAATGATTTTGTAATGCATTTTTGGGTATTGTGATTTTGTTTGACTTTGATACGGAAGAGAGAAGGACTTTGAATGAGCCTCTCCTTACTTGGTACCTGCGATGAGAGCCCTTTTATGATGAAAGGCCTATCAGTTAGAAGCACATAGGCAATCCAACCCCTCTCCAAGCTCCCGCTTCAAGATGCGCATTTTGCCGTTTTCCGGTCAAATGAACTCCGAGGAGACGTTGACAGCCATCATCTCAGATGAAATGATGGTCTCGTCAAGCTTTGGCACTAGCTGTTTGTTCGCTGATCCCAAGCTAGTGAGCACCAGGGACTAGCGCCGGGGCAACTCCGATCCGTGGGCATCAACGACCAAGTCGGGACAATAGCTTACATTCTTTGAATTAGATCGACTCCTATTGGTAGGAACGACCCATTGGGCTCGGATCGAACATGCCCGGCAGTCCTAAGACAACGACGTGGATACCGGATCGCAGCCAGGCCGTTGACCTAAGTAATGACCCATGTCATCGGTATTCCTACCATTTCTACCTGTACAGGAAGGGATGTGACGAACGTGGTTCAAAAAGAACACGCCCAACGCAGAAGGGTTTTGGAGCTAAGGAACGGAGGGGAGTGTTGCCGGCACCTGCTACCAAAGCTCCTGGGGAAGCTTGCTGACAGCTGGAAACCGGCTTGGGCTTTCACGGATTGACTTCTTTCCGAGAGACTGTCCGAAGTCATCTGGCTGTCTCACGGGCCTTGGATTCTAGGCTTGGTATATCGAGCGAAGATCAGTTCTCAGCAGTGCAGACTGGTATCTAACGCAATATGGGGAGCCTTTGGCCCTTGAACATTTTACTTGATGGCAATTAGGTCTCCGGCTATCGTATGGCTGCATTCACGCCCCTATATGATGTAGAGAGGTCCAAGCCTTGTCCTCAATACTCAATACAAATCAATTAATTGTCTCCCAGATTGCATTCATGACGGCTCAAAGGCTGGGGTGCGGCATATCCTCATTTTGGAACTTGTAAGCCTGTCCTCAATCTGTCTCACTGCCAAAATGGAGACAGCTTCTCGCCGAGGGAGATAAGTAGGTGACCATACGTAATGTGCAGGTATCCTTTCGGACCTTGCTTTACACCATCTGGCCCCTGAAAAGGTTTGAAACCCTTCTGATGACACGCGAACTCATATTCGCTGACTGTGGGCAATCTTCCAACTCCAGGAAAGAAACGGTCGTCTTCAAACATATATGTTGCTCTTTGCCTGAGTAGTCGACTGAAGCCATCGCAATAAAACGCATGACCGTCGGTCCCCGGACCAACACGCCAGAGGTAGTGTTTAGAGGGGTGAAAAGGCAGAGTCTGCATCTGACCGTAAAACCTTTCTTCAGCTTCTGTCGAAAACCTTTCCAGAAATGGCTTTAAATAGCGAGGCTCAAGTCGGAGCATGCTCGTCAAACAGTCAAATCTGCAACTGGCCATCAAAGGTATGAGTAGATCAGTTTTTGGATCTTGGACAAAATCGTTGGGATTGAGAGACGGTGAATTCTCAAATTCTGGGTAATTGATTCTCAGTTTGGGTCGCAATTCGAGATCGCTAGAGATCAGTCCCCAGTGTTGAGAAATAATGTACTCCCGGACGGATGTGAGGTTCTCGAGATGCTCCACATTTGCTGCACTTTCTTTCTTGTAAATACTCAGAATGCTTCATTTCCAGTGGCAAAGATGGACGTCTATCTTCCGAAACGTGGCTGTATCACATTGGGTAACGCCATCAGGGTAGTTAGCCGGCTGCTTGCGTTGGGGTCCGTAGATCTTGCAAATCATCTCATAGCGAACAAAAGATTTGAAAACTTTTCACCTTTCACATTCGGTAAGCTTGCTCATGTCGAACTTCCTTCGTTGCCATGACCATATAAGGCCGTCGGACGAAAAGCCAGGCCACAAAGACTTGGCGGGGTCTCTAGGCATCATCTTGTAAGTCTGGAAGAGACGGAGCAGTTTCTTTTGACAAGAAGGCGTCGACGAAGAGCCCAATTCGTTGAAAGAATGAATCGAGCTTCAGACGTAGCAAAACGGCCATCTCGTTGAGAGGGATCGAAAGCCCACCGGAAGCACACCTCTCCAGGTGTGCGTGATTGTAAAGTTTCGATCATACGAGCCAGCGTCGCATCTTGGAAAGAATATAACGGCCAGCGCATCGTCGAGATATTCTCCATCTAGGTCCCGCGACACGAAAGTGCGTATGATTCGTTTTCTATCGGCCTTACACTGCTGACAAATGGCCGGTGATGCTAGACTAAGCGCCGAGACGTCCTCGCGAGACGTCCTCGCGAGTTTCAAGGCTCTCTATGATACGTAGGCGGACCTCGGGTGGACAGTCTTCAAACGCATACATGGATAAGGTGTCTCCGGTGTTTGGTGTCAATGATGGCATAGGTGTCAGTAGGTTTCGGTGGGTGTTCATTGCGGAGGTTCATGTCGCGGCGAAAAATACGTCTGGGATCCTCGACCCTGTCTTTGATGGAAATTCGACTAGCTATCTCAAGGTAGCTGCTGGAGGCGGTGGCGGCTGTTACAACAGAACTTGATAACCTGTCATGAAACTTTGTCGGCAAAGGGAAAAAGTTAACTCAGCATGAGCAGCTTAGTATGATTCGCAATGTTCCAAAATTTCCAACCAGTATGTACGGCCTCTTCAATGATCAATAATCTTCGTAAAACAACAGAGACGGCGAGTGTGTCGCGGCACCGAATGACCCACAATACCGCCACGCTCTACTGAAAATTTCAACCCAGGAAAATGGCATTCATGAGAGCACAAGTGCTGTGGGCGGTAAGCACTCGCTCCAGGGAGACCAGGGCAGGTGATCGGCTTCGAGTAGTTCCCAGCACCGCCCATCCCGCCAGTGCTCCCAAACAGCGAATGTACAAGCGCCGAGGCTTCTAAGCACTAGCCTTACCTAATTCTTGCCGTGGAAGTCGTCGCAGCTATGACCCAATGAGCTGAGCTGCTGCCTGACGATCTCGACAGTGCTGGGGTCTGCCTAAATAACCTGGATTGAAGCTGCAACCCTCAACAGTACACCATCATTGAGGTTCATGTTCCGAGACAGAGACCGGTACGTCGCGTCTTGATGCTGCTGAATGACCTTACGGAGGATGAGAGTTGACATCTACTTGGCAGTCTTCAATCTTGTAAACACCGATATATGGAAACGAGCTGTTATGCCAAGGGGAACACTGACGGTGCTTTGATCTATGCAAACCCCACCCAATCTTGAATCCGGCAGTCCGGCATGTGGGATTCCCTCGTTGAATTACCAATCGCGAATTCGGAAAGCCATTACGGAGAAATCAATTTGAAAGTTGAGAGCGAGCGATATTTCTCACACGAAATGCTACTCGTGCTTGAGTGGGTTGAGTTGCAGTTAATGGTCAATTAGGACTAGTCTCGTTGTGACGGTGGTCCCGCCCAGGTGGTGTTGTGGATGCTTCAGGCAGAGGTACCCGAACAGACATGCTTTCTGAACAATCATCCGATGTTCTGGGTTTACACTGACAGGCACGACAAGAAAGCTTGAAATGTGTGCGATCGATTCCGAGGCTGAATCTGGTCGAGAAAGCGAAAGGATCATTCTGAAGTGTATACTAGAGTCGCAAATTTCTTCGTTCAGTGCTTTATTCACTCAATGCCAAGGCGTCATGGGTCGTGATAGGTAAGATAGGATAGGGTTGTCCCCTGCGAATGAACGAAGTCTCGGTGGTTAGGAGGGTTCTGCGCCATTCCCGAGCTTCATCGTGAGCACGGGCTGGCTGCCTCTGAAGACCACGGCCCGATGCACTTGACCCATCATGCATCTCATCCTTCATTGGGTTATCATCTGACAGCTCGGGCAACGTACCCTTTGAGTCGTCGGCAATAAAGACAAGAAGGGGTTCGCTCTCAATGAACACCCCTACGAGAGCAACGTCGCCCCGGCATGGATTTCGATCCTCCAATGACACCACTCGAGTCGTGAAAAAAATTTGATCTTATCAATCTAGGCCCCCGAATCCACATCGCGATCCTTCGAGCCACTAGCGAACCACTCATCCCGTGTTCTCGGCCCCCTCAGACGAACATTGGCCGAGCCTGCCCGAGAACCATGTCGCCGCCCGTCAATCGACGTTACTTCCCAAGGCCAAGAGCGCTGCACTATGTACTCAAGACCGTATCGGCACGCGTTGTTGCATTGTTCACAGCGCACAACCATGTGTTCGTCCCACCATTCCTGCGGCCCATCTCTTGGCGCCTTTTGTATTGCTGGGAGGATACAAGAACCCTTGCCTCGCCGCCGTTGCATTTTTCACAGTTGAGTCTTTTGGGCCTACACGTTCCACGACCAGATTCCCGGACTCACCCATTCAAGCGGCTTGTGGCCTCAAGACAACATGGCTTCCCCAAACGAAGCCGCGAGCTCACCAGAGATTGCTCCTGAGCGTCCCGTCCCAGCCCCGATTGACGACAAGGATCCCGAGATCGTCGATGAGAAGCCCAGTTCCGAAATCGATCCCAACACCGGCGGACTTGCAGGTGTCGAGAAGATTGAGGCCTTGACTCAAACATGGACCAAGCCGTGGCTTGTCGTCGCCTACATCTTGTATGCGCAGTCTGCACAACTCTTCCGGTTGCATTTGCTCACCTCATTCCAGCATCTGGCTTGTCTTCTTCACAGACTCGCTGCAACAACAAATTGCTAGCTCTCTACTGCCTTATGCAGTCAGTGACTTCGGTCTCCATGGCCTTATGGCCGCCACGGGCATCATCTCCAACATCGTGGCAGGAGTCAGCAAGCTACCGCTCGCGCGTATTATCGACGTGATTGGTAGAACGCAAGGCCTCTGCATCATGTTGGTTTGTGTTGTCATCTGTATGAAGCCTCCGTCAAAGTTGCCGGAGACAAGAACTGACATGATCCCGTAGCTTTGATTCTCATGGCAACTTGTAACAACGTCGAAACCTATGCTGCAGGCCAAACGTTCTTCTGGACTGGCATGAATGGTATTGGTTACGTTCTCAATATCTTCATGGCCGATACCTCGACACTTCGCAACCGAATGATTCTCTTCGGCTTTACATCTACACCCTACGTCTCCAACACCTTCGCCGGGCCTGCAGCTGCCCAAGCTTTCCTTGACGGCAGCACTTGGAGATGGGGATACGGCGCTTTCACAATTATCATCCCGGTTATTTGCGCCCCCCTAATTATCATCTTTACCCTCCAGTTGAACCGAGCCAAGAAACTCGGTCTCTACGTCAAGCCCCAAACCAACCGCACCTTCTGGGAGTCGGTGAAATACTGGTTAATAGAATTTGATGTTGCAGGAATCCTTATTGTAGTTGCTGGATTCTCGCTGTTCCTGCTGCCATTCAGCATTGCTGGTTATCAGGCACACAAATGGGTTGAGCCCAGAATCATTGCGATGATCGTTATCGGTGGTCTTCTCTTGATCGCGTTCCCACTATATGAGAAGTACCTTGCGCCAAAGACTTTCATTCCTTGGGAGTTATTTCAGAACAGAACAGTCCTGGTCGCCTGTTTGCTCGGAGGGAACATGTGGATCAGCTTCTAGTAAGTCCAAAACTTCTGACGGATCATTAGCATTTCAACTCTAACTTTGCGGCAGCTGTTACAAGGTTCAGTTCTCATCCTATTTGCAGGTCGTCTACGACCTCAGCGTCGCAAGAGCTGGCTTCATCACCAATATCTTCAACATCGTATCTTGTGCTTGGGCGGTTCCGGTTGGGCTGTAAGCGATTGTCGTAATACTCCCGTTAGTTCTGCGCTGACATCTCTTGTGTCCAGTCTCATGCGCTTCACCGACCGATACAAGTGGCTTGGACTGGCGGCGATTCCTCTTCAGATGCTTTCTACCGGTTTGATGATCAAGTTCCGTATGCCCGATACTCACGTCGGCCTTGTCATCATGTGCGAGGTTCTCGGCTCTTTCGCCGGTGGCACTATTGTCATGGTCGAGCAGATTGCCATCATGGCTTCCGTTGCTCATCGCGATGTTGCAGTCGGTCTCGCTCTACTGGCTCTCGTCACCAGTGTTGGAGGTGCTATTGGCCAATCTATTAGTGGTGCTATTTGGACCAACTCGATGCCCTCGAAGCTAGAGCGCTACCTTCCCGACGAACTCAAAGACCAGGCCCTCCTCATCTATGGTGATCTTGTCACTCAGCTCAGTTACCCAGTGGGTACTCCCGAGAGAGACGCCATCATTCGTGCGTACGGCGAAACGCAGAAGATCATGATCATCGCGTCGTTGGTGGCATTAGTTGGATCGATTGTTTGGGTTTCTTTGATGAAGAACCATCGCTTGAGTGACAAGCAGCAGACAAAGGGTGTTCTGTTCTAATCTGGGTCGGGCTGTTCAGCTGCATGCTGTTCAGCTGATATTCAATGAGCGATACTTACATCCTGTTTTTTTTTTTCAACGACTTGTGTGAGAGGTATGAAATCATGCAGAGAATCTGAGCTACGTGACGGGCTTGTCCTAAGGCATACGGCCAGTGGTCCATGATATTGGATCCGAAACAATGACTCCAAGCTGGCATGACGCAGTCTCACAGAAAGAGACCAATCTTCCACGCAAAGACATTGTGGCCAATGCCCTTCCGCAGGCCATCTGTGCTGAGGTTTGCTTTCAGCGAATGTCACCCAAATATAGTTTTGACTTTAGCAAGTCATCCCAGCCATATAGAATGTCAAGTAGGACAGTACTGACTCCAAAAACACTAGATGCCAGTAAGAACATGGCAGAACCACCGCTACACCCCATTTAAAACATATCTAAGCCTATCACAGCCCAATCGCGACCTGAAGTCAACACCACCGTGTTTCCTCCAAGGCTGGTGATCCCGAAAACCTGGGACCTTGCCGAATCCGGGGTTGGCGTGGGGTCGGAAGACGGAAGACGGAGCTCGGAAGGGCAAAAAATGCCCAATCAGTTCGGCGATCGACTCACTGACGAAGCCACGAGGGCTAAGAATTGCTTGAAACGGAATCTCGCATGTATGTGCCGCTGCTAGCTAGCCGGGCATGCCAACCGAGTGTGTCTAGGGTCCGATATTCGTTGTTCGTTGGTAGGCTCTTGAGTGAGGTTTTTGGCTGGGACTCCGGAGCAAAGCCGTGTGAGATTCAATCCCGGCCCACCACCGGGACCCATCACAACCAATCTGCGTCTACGAAATTCCACTCGGTGTGTTCAGGTTGGTCGTGGCCTCCGCAAAAGAACCTGCAAGAGAACAGGTCCCGCGGCGCTAACCCGCAAATGCAGGCCTCTTCCCCGCCCCCAGCCTCCGAGTCATATCTCCTCCAGGTCCATGTTATGCCAAAGACGGTAGTCTTTAGCATTCTGCCACTCGGGAGATGTCACCTCCACGTGGAAACTGCGGAGGGCGGGGAGCGCTCTCCAGTCACCCACGGGGAGAGCTGGCAAGCCCCTGAACTTGGTTCACGCGATGACAGTTTCCCCAGAGTATAAGACTTTGGGCGATCCCACCGGATCCTGGAGCTTTGGACAGTCGAGGTCCCTAGAGCACGATACTCGCTTGTCTTTGCAACGAGGTCCGTTCCACTAATCCAAGCCGTCAATACCGAGTATTCGTAGCCCAGCATGGCGGACACGAAGGCCGCACCCACGGTCCAGCATGAAGACAAGCAGCGTTCCGAACAGCTTGAGGACGTGAATGTCGCAGCCGCGGCCGCGCTTCCAACAACTGCGGTCAACGACAAGCTCACTTTCGCTGATTTCTGGGACAACAAGCGCGTTTTGGGTTTCTGTCAGTTCATCCGATTCACCTTGTAATTTGACCATCACACACTAACCTGACCAACTGACAGGTTTGATGATTTACCTTCTGCCGATTAATTTCGGATATGAAGTCACCACGATCGGGAAATTGCTCGCAGTCACACCCTTTGCTAAAAGATTTGGTCACGAAGTCGGCGGAAAATGGGTTGTCGCAGCCCGCGACCAACAAATTCTCAACGCCGGCGGTACAATCGGTATTTTCGTCTCGGCATTCGCAACAGGCATCGTTAGCGACTTCATCGGCCGCAAGCGAACCATCATCATCGCCTGCTTCATCTGCGTGGGTGGTATCATCCTCCAATACTTCAGCACGACCGTTCTCATGTTGTTCGGCGGCAAGACCGTTGCCACTTTCGGATTCGGTCTGGGCCATTCGCTAGGCCCGGTGTTTGTTGCTGAGCTGGCCCCGGTCAAGATGCGTGGTGTGTGCCTCGTGTTGGTCAACACGATGATCACTATCGGCCAGTGGCTCAACTCAGTGACGGTGCTGGGGAGTGATCACTACAACGACGACTTGTCATGGAGAATCCCTCTCATCACCCAGCTTATCCCCCCCGGCCTGCTTCTCCTTGGTCTTCCTTTCCTTCCGGAGTCTCCGAGTTGGCTCCTCATCAAGGGCCGCCGGGAGGAGGCAGCCAACTCATACCGACGATTCAACGGACCCAAGTTTGATGTTGATGGGGCTATGGCTGTAGCAACAGTTGCCATTGCCAAAGAGCAGGAGGCCAAGAAGGAGCAAGAGTCCAGCCGCTGGCTTGATTGCTTCAAGGGCTCGAACGGGCGCCGCACTCTCATCATTGTCATGGTGTATCTCGCGCAACAGGCGATCGGCGTGAATTTTGTTAGCGGTTATTTGACGGTTCGCACACAATGGCAGCAATTTGACAGACACAAGAACTGACATGTCACTAGTATTACTTCCGTCTTGCCGGAGTCAACAACCCCTTGGCGATCGGCCAAGCCGCCTACGCGATCCAGTTTGTCGGTAACATGACATCATGGCCGCTGGTCGACAGATACGGACGACGCCCCTTGATCGTTGGCGGTGTCTGTACAATGACCGCTCTTCTGCTCCTTATCGGCGGCATCAGCACCATCGGCACTCAAACATCTCTGTCAGCGACAGTGGCTTTCATGGTGGTCTGGGGATACTTGTACCAGGCGACGCTTGGCGCCGTTGCGTACTCTGTCGGCGGAGAAACTGCGAGGTAAGCTGCACGGATACCATGTTCCCATGTGTTGAAACTCGGGACCCAGAACCAGTCGAACGGTTTGACCCTGAAGCCCCAGTGTTGGCGAGACGGTGATGCCGGGACACCGGGTTGTGGGCCGCGACAGACCGGGGGCCCGTTCAAATTTGTAACAAGGACTGGCTTGCTAACGAGATTGCGAAAAAAACAGTGTGCAACTCCGTCAAAAAACCTACAGCATCAACATCATGTGCTCGACTGCGGCGTCGTGCCTGGTGCAGCAGGTGATGCCCTACTTGATTAACACGGATCAACTTAACCTGGGCGGGAAGGTGTGCTTCATCTTTTTCGGCCTGTCTCTGCCCATGTGCGTCTGGCTCTACTTCTACTTCCCCGAGATGAAGGGTCGCAACTACGCTGAAATCCAAGAGATGTTCAGCAACAACGTGCCGGCGCGCAAGTTCAAGACGTACGTGTGCGAAGTCAGCGCCGGGGGCCAGGCACAGGAGAAGAAGCTGCAAGAGGAGGAGGCATGAAGGGGCAACCGGTGGGGAGGCGGCAGCGAATGGTGTAATGTTTAATGAGTCGCTCAAAACCTGAAGGCCATAGGGCTCTTCTGATAAGAAGCTTAAATGAGCAAAACACCACCCGCGTTAATGAACACACGATGTCGCGTGCAGCCATTGGTGGACGGCCCCCATTTGGGCATTTCGGTTGGCTCTTTGTTGAGTGTTGCACGGAAATTGACAAGGGACTAATGCAGTGACGATGATTAGCGACGTTTTATGTTAAATAAACAACGCAGTGGGCCTGGATCATGATCGGAGATTAGTGTGATCCTGACGCCCTCACGCAAAAAACACTGAAGCTGTCGTGGACCGTCCACATTTTTCTTTTAAACCCCCGCGCTCCACGATGGCTGTGCATCTGGATCAGCACTTTTGGGGGCAGAATCCAACAACTGCAGTTGATCACTGGGACATTCGGCAACCTGAACGACGATCAACAGCGATCAGCAAACCAACACCGATTCACAATGGTTTCTCAACGGCTCTGGTGCCTTGGCGCCGCTCTTCTTGCTTCCTGCGCGCAAATTGTCAGCGCCGACATTCCTGAAAACGCCGTCGAACTCGATCTCGTCTTCCCTCGTGATGGCGGCAAGTACGGTATGACTTCCAAGGGCTACCCGGTCCTCCTCAACATCCAGAACCCCAACGTGGCCTACCATTACGGTTACGGCTTTGTCTGGGACATTTACTCGAGAAACAAGAACTCCTACCTTCGCACCGCCGCTCACGGCTCCCTTGGCGCCACCATCTTGAACGACACCGAGTTTGGTGACGGCCCGCACCTCGAGGTTGGCTACACCGGTCACCTCGCCGCGGGCGACTACACCTTCGCTTGGGTCTACGGCCTGGGCGCGCAGTGCGAGTTCACCGAGCAGCCTACCTACAGCGAGTTCAACCTGAACCCTCGTGTCGCCAACGGCAGCTTCGACTTCACTGTTGAGAGCGACGGCTCTGAGCCGACCTTCACCAAGACCTGCCCCACGGCCGTTGGCAGCATGAGCTACGCCTCTACAACGACTTACAACTCTGAGGCTACCAGCGTCTGCGGCGTCACCGCGACACCCACGTTCGACACCGATCCTTGCAAGGCTACCCTCAGCAATGAGCAGGCAACCAGCGTCTACAGCGAGTTGGGATACGCCGCTGCCACTGGATCTTCCAAGGGAGCTGCCGACTCGAAGGTGCCGTCTACGTCTATGGCCTTGTTCGCTGGTCTTCTTGCTTCCGTCGCGGCCTTGGCATAGACGTAGAGACACAGCTACTCGCGCATATGGAAGAGGCGCGCCGACCATGCGTCGAGCAGCATCCAGCTGAACAGCGATGGGCATCGCGACCTGCCCAATTCGCAGCCCTACGGCCAACACCTCCCTCGAGCGGGAGGGTGTCGAGTGGCGGAGCGAAGGCGACATATGCAGATAGCATCGATTGCGTCTTATCTTGCTGCTGTGCCGTCGTTAGCGTCACTGTCTTAAAGTTGCATCGCAGCATGCCAACCTTGTTTCTGCCCACAACTGCGCTCTTTTGCCCTATTGCAGAACGGCACAACTCCAAAAATAAGCCAGCGATCTGCACAACGTGGCTCGGCGCGGACCTGGGCCTCCGGTAGAGCCTCTGGATGGACAGAAGTGTTTGAAGAGGGGGGACGGGAAGAGAAACAAGAGTCACGAATCTGAGGGGTTTTGAGAGACAGAAGAACAAAAGATACCCAACCACCGTCGTCCGTGTACAGGGTTGGTTCAGTTCAGCCCCCATGGGCCCAGATCACTGCCGTCTTTGGTAGCTCGAGTCGGCCTGCAGGGAGAACAGCCAATGACACAGGACGTCGGCTGACGTTAGCAATGAATACACAACCAACGATCCAACGGCATTCGTCGCTTTCTTTTCAGGCTCCGATATGTGACATGCATCTTGCATTCTGATGGTGACCTGTCAGCAGGCATCCCACTCCGTCTCGGAGGGATGCCGTCGGCGTTGCCCAGGCTCCAAGAGTAAGACAAGCTTTCTCGGCAAACTGGTATTATTTGAGGCTCCCCAGACTCCAGCCACCATGCAACTTGCCGTTTGATCGGGCCATCCGTTGTTTGCTTTTCTGCCGGAAGCCGTTGACACATGCGACCAGATTCGCGACCAAGCGCAATGGCACAGCAGTACCGTCAACACTCGCACAATGCGAGCACGAGCTCTGAAGACACTATTTTTGTCAGCCAGCCAGACAGCCCGTTCATTCAAAGCCCCGACAAACGACAGAGCCTGGGATCTTACAAGGCCTATCAATCGCCCTACGTTTCTGTTCATCCTGAAGATGTACCTGGCAGCGAACCTGCTTTGAGTAGCACTGGCGAGTCGAGACGATCCACTCGCTGGAGCAGAATCTCAGAGAAGACACACATCAAGCCCGAGAAATTTTCCAACTCAGGAACATGGACCTTTGAGATAGCCAGTCTTTGCGTCACCGTTCTCGCTGTTGCTGCCATCATCGGCGTGCTCGCTGCGTATGATGGTCGGCCCTTGGCATCATGGCGATTCCAAATCACCATCAACGCCGTAATTGCAATGCTCGCCACTGTCGCGACTGCAACCATTGCCGTTGTTCTCTCCAGCGGTATCAGTCAGCTTAAATGGATTCACTTCAAGACTCGTCGCGAACCTCTGTCTGACATGGAGGTTTTCGACGATGCAAGTCGAGGGACCTGGGGAGCCTTGATGATGCTCCTGAAGCTCCGCGGAGGGTAGGTCAACCCCGCCATATGTACAGTAAGAAGAGGACTGACATAACATTTGTTCAGATTTCTAGGATCATTCGGCGCTTTTGTTGCTATTCTTACCTTGGCATTCAGTCCGTTTGCACAGCAAATTGCCACTTTCCACGCTCGTACTACCGATTCCAACGAAGGCGCCACCAACCTGCGCTCTCAGCAGTACATGATTGCACTGAGCAGTCAGACTGCGTCGGAAGGATTTATCCCTATTCTGCCGTTTAAAGCTGCGGTCTACAACGGCCTCTTCGCTGAGAACGGCAAGCCGTGGTTAAGCCTTCCTGTCAACTGCCAGACTGGTAATTGCACCTGGGAACCATTCGAGACTCTTGGTGTGTGTAATACTTGTATCGATCAGACCGAATTCATGACCAGGTCCTGCGAAGACGGGTCGACGGAGGACATGACACAGTGTGGCTGGGCTCTGGATAATGGAGCCAGACTCAAGACTCACGCTGATGTTTTCAGCATGACCCCCTTATTCCCTAGAGGCCTAGGAGATATGACCTACTCAACCATCATGAAGGTCGTATTTATGGGAACCGAGAAGCAGAATGGTACTGCCGGCGTTGTTGCACCCTGGGCGAGGCAGTGCACATTGCAGGCTTGCGTCCAAACCCTCAAGTCTTCAATCAAGAATGGCGAACTCAACGAGACAATCATCCATGTGCAGACCAACGATTCTGTTCCCACTGCTACAACCAATGACCTGGAGCCCATCTACATCAGTGGCGAGAGCGGCAATGAGACGTATCCCATTGACATGAAGGTCATGATGGGCATGCGCTCGTGGTTCTCAAACCTGTTCCGCAATGGCTCGGCATCGCGTAATGAGGAGGTTCTCAATCAGACCATCACCAGTCCCGACAAGGTGATCGTCAACCTCACTGTTGGTATCTCTAGCGGCGAGACATTCTTCGACACCGACATTGTCCAAGCGTTCTACTGGAACTACTACGAGTACCCAGGCGGTATCGACATGCTGATGAACGATCTCGCCACCAGCGTCACAGTCAGCTTCCGAAGTTTCAAGGGCACCAATGTCACTGGACTAGCACATACCGTGGAAAGTTACATCCATGTCGAATGGAGTTTCCTCACGTTACCTCTACTCACTGTCCTGCTGACAGCTGCCTTCCTGAGTGCTGCAATCTACCAGACCTGGCGTTGGAAGGCAAGTCTGTGGAAGAGCAGCGTTCTTGCGACACTGGTCCACGGACTAGACCGGAACGCGAGGGAGCGTCTTGAAGACTTGGGAGGCTTGCGGGAACAGCAGAAAGAGGCTAAGGTCGTTACGGTGCAGCTAGATGAAGGACATGGTGGGCTTCTGAAGATGTCCAAATACGATGACATCTGAGTGCAAATTTTCAAATAATAAATTGATACGGGACAGGCATGCATGCAAATATTAACTAATCCGCTCTTTACTATGATAACGTTAATGGTAATGACTGAAAGCGGTGGTTGGGATGGAGCTTGAGCGTTTTTTCACATATATCCCCAAAAGGCTTCGTGGAGAGCAGTTTTGTTTGAATCAAAGATAAAAAGTTGCTTGCATTTTTGACCTGTATCTCGTGTACGATGGTCGATACTATTTACATTCAAGAAAAACGCTGATCATTTGTCATCCAAATTGATGACTTAGACGTACTCGGCGCACATCACGTCACTACCCAGATCCATGACTTCGGCAATCGTGGCGTTGGGCATGATACCGACCATCCACAAGTTGTGGTTGAGGGTAGTCTCGTTGCCAGAGTCGCCGTCATAGTCGAGGATGGAAGCGCTGGGGTACTCCATACCGTTTTGCTCGAGGTAGCTGTCCAGGGGAATGTTGCGACCACCCATGTCGGTCAAGCGGGTAGTGAGGTTGGCCTGCTGCCACTCCCACCAGAGACGATCCAAGTTTGTGTGGTGAAGGAAGAAGAGCGGGTCACCGGGGCTACCGACAACATCAAGCATCTGTCGGAACGGCGTCAGTTATCAATAAGCCAATGAATGTGGGCAAGGTCAAGCTTACGGTGCCACCAACAGCAGAGTGGCCGGCGGTATGGGGGTTGACTTGGTAGCACTCGAACGCCGCGGTGTAGTTCTCGGAGGCGAAGCACTCGTCGATGTATTGTTGCTGGCCAGTCTGGAAGCCATTGGAGTTGAAGGAGCGTGTCAGGCAGTCGTTGGCGTAGTTGGAGGTGGAGTTGATGTGAAGCGTCAGGTTGACGAAGGGGCCGTCGGTAACGCAGTCGCCGCCCTCACCACCAAAACCAGTGTCGGGATCGAAGACAACAGACTGGTTGAGGGCGTCCATGTCGAGGACCTCGTTCCAGTACGGCTGGCCACCCTCGTAGCCGCACTCAGACTGAAGCAAGTACTCGTGGACACGCATGAAGTAGCGGTGCCAGGGGAGGAAAGATCCCTGTGTTGATTATCTGATTAGATCTCCTTGTTCAATCAAAAGCTCATGTTTTCAGAACACCCTACAGTGTTGTGGATAACGTTGGACTGCACAATGTGGGCCCAGTCGAGCTCGTCCCAGCGGTTGATAGCACCCTCAATGTCGGTCTTGGCGGTGGTGTTCATCAAGCAGAGTTCTGCGTTGATGTACGCCGACTTCTCGGTATCGGTCATGTTGTTCCATGCCTTTCGCTGCGTCTTTGTCGTGCAGGTCGTGTTCCACGAGGCCGCGGCGGCCGCGAGGCCAGATGTCGCGAGGACAGTGAATAAAGAGCGAAGAGTAACAGTCATTTTGGGCGAGTTCTAAAGAAGGAAAAGACTAAGAAACGACTGAAAAGGAAAGAGCGAAGTGAGATAGTCGAGTTGAAGCCAAGAAGCTGCTAGTGGTGAAGAGAGAAATGCCTGAACTCCATGGCGAACAGACACAACTTATAAGATTTTCGCTGACTTAGACCAGGCTACTGCATGATGTTCCTCATTGCCCAAATCGTGATGTTCAACATGGGAGATTACTGCTGCTGCTGCGCAATCGGCCAATGCGCCTCGCTTGGCAAACCGCGTCACCCCGGCTTCATTGGGACGAACCGGCGTTTGTAGCCCACTTCCCGTCCCGTTTCCCCTTTTAAGCGGAGTCAACACCGCAGAGACATGTGGGATGAGGCTCCCATGCTTAAAGCTTCCCCTGACTAAGACCCAGAATAGAAACAAAACTCTCCACACAAACACGTAACGTATAGCCTTGTTATATGGGAGAAGGGCTCTCTGGCAGCCATTGGCCTGGGTTGCGGTGAAGGCGATTACGTCTCTTCGGCTCCGACCGGTGACATCGTGGCATGCGCGATACCGTATTCTTTTGTGGGGGATCTCGGCTCCTGAACAGCTCCTGCGCGGCTCCCGAAGAGTTGGCTCAGATAAACAGCAAGCTATCCAATCCAGTCCCTGTTGTTAATGCACGGCAGTTGGGACAGTGTTGCAAAGTCCACAAGCCGCGTCAGTTGGAACTTGAGTAAGCCTGGGGCTCATCCTGCAGCAACGATGTCTCTTGATCCGGGATGAGGGCCTCTAGTCTCCTGCCTCCAGCTTAATGCCTCAAAAATCGAGAAATCTGTGAACACAGAAATTATTTTGGTGACATCCGGCGAGCGGCTAGCCCGAGGTGGCATTCGCTTCAGCTTGCAGCGCCAAGTCTGTCATTGGTGCCTCCATTCAGGTCCATCTACTGGGATTAGTAGTCAAAATGAACCGGCAGTCTTGGCAAACCACAAAGCTGGAAGCTTAGCTTTGCGGTAGAAGGATGATTCGATGCAGACTTCCAGATCATCTCATCTTTGGGATCTGCGCGCACTGGATACTGGCTGCCAACGCTTTGACACTGAACATGTTCTACGCGTAAGAAGGCAGGCTGTGGAGTTACATTGGCTGCACGGAGGGTGAACCAGCTTACCCCGGGAAACCGAAGAATGGAGCGTTCCAGGCCTAAACTCTTGATGATCAGTGACCGTGGTTGGAAGCCACACAGTCGAACGAAAGTTACTTGCGGCTGCCATTTGATAAACAACGAGAGCGCTTGGGCATCTTCATTGACAAGAAAACTGATTGCTATTCTTTTTATTTGCTTACTGATATCGCTGATGGGCGAGCCATTCCCAGACGCTGTTGCCACTTAACTTTCGCTTGGTTGCATATGGCTGAGCAAGTTTTCTTACACGAGTGGAAAAGGCATCCCTGTGTATTACACAACTGCGTGGTCTTGAAATTGAATAGTTTCAAGCAGGACTGGGTACTCCGTGGCACCAGAAGGCTAGAATCTAGTTATTCTTTCTAGGATATGTTTGTTTATTCACAACATGCTTTCAGGTGGGGGACCCTAAAGCTAGGTCAAGCCACAACTTTGCCTCCCATCGGCATTTTGCCTGCGGCTCCCACCGCATCCCGAAGGTTTCTGGACTTCCGAGCATTCCACTTGTCCGTGTTGTTATTTGCAGCAACTCAAGATGCCGTTCTTGGACGAGGTCATTGAAGCCGCTGCCGCATCCTTGGTGTTCTCGGCAAGTCCGTCGGCCACTAAACAAGGCTCGGCTCTTCCCCAGGCTTCGACGGCTAAGCCACTTCAATTCAAACCTGGCTTGTATTTTCCGTCCTTAATCAGAATTAATGTCTTTTTGCCATGCAAGATATAGCATGAGCAGAATGAGCCATCTTGAGAATCTTCGTGTTGGTGGTTTGCGCGCCGACGTGGGCCGAAGCTTTCCAGAGTCTGTCAGTGCGCTACAGCCCTCAAGATGCGCTTCTAGGTGGTAGGTAAGGTAATCAACTAAAAACCTTCTTTGGCTTGCCGATATTCGAAGACAATACTCTGCGGTAGTCACTCGTCGCCCAAGTCAAAAGCTCTTCTGGTTGCAAGGTGTAGGTAGTTCTTGAGATTGAGCATGATTTGAGACCTGCCCGGCACACGACCCCTTCTCTTGCAGGCTCTCAAAGCTATATTAATTAGCAGCCGGAACGTTCCATCCTAGTTCGGCGGCTCTCTTCTAGTGGTAGTGGAGGCTTTGATCTGGGCATTCAAGTGAACTGACGTCAGTGCCATCTTCCTCGCAGAGAGCTTTGCTAGTCGTAAAGGGAAAAACAATTGCCTCCAGTGTTCGTAATATGGTGGTCATGGGGCACTGCATGTTCTCCTAACACAAAGACGATCAAAGCTGCCCTGACCTCGCCAAAAGCAAACCATCACCACATGGCCTACAATGACCTACATTTCGGGAGAACAAACCGTCAACAGTCCCAGAGAGGACCTTACCAGATCCCATCCATCGAAGATATTGAGTTTGAGGCCTGGCAGGACTAAGCCAGCTTGGGCCATGACCAATATGGCGACTAGCATAATTAACTCTCTACGACCACGGCCAGACACTTCTCGACACTTTCGTTCACCAGTCGTATCCGTACATCTCTCTTTGTGATGACGTCCACAAATATGCCAAGGCGCAAGGCGCCTGACAAGGGGGGACTTTTACTCGAAAGGAATGTCGTGGAGGTGCCCATCCCCGATAAGGTGAATCCCATTGCAAACTACATTTGTACTGTCACGGAAAACTCTTTCAGACATCGAAGCACCTACTTGTGTCTTATGGCCGGTCCTCGCTCAGACTTCGACTGCCATGTCGTTCATCAATATAGGAAGCCTTATTTGTAGTGAATGGGATGCGATGTTGGGCGAGAATTGCGGATAATTCGGCGTATGAAAATCAGAGACTGGAGCCTGCGGTATGGATTTGCAGCGGCGACGTCGTTGGTTGTGCGGCGAGACCAGAGGGACGGCAATGATTTAATGCGCAATGCAACCCTTTTTTTCGCGTGATCGTTTCTTGAAGAGACTGAAATGATTAGGGATGGTTTGATACAACAATTACAGACACGCTGAAAATGAGCGATCCAACACTAGAGCTTGACCAGCGTCCTTTCTAGGACTTTTCTGGAACGCCACTGCTCGTAGCATGTTGGTTGGCAGCACGTCCTTCAAAGCCAAGAACACAGGATAATCGGCAACTGTTGTTCTGGGCAACAAAGACATGGTTCTTTTTATGGACAAAAGCGAGTCGATCGGCCTGCGCGTCTGCTCCACTTCGGGAGTGACTAGCTCCGGTGAGTCGTCCATCGTCAAGTGGGAGTGCCAAGCGACATGGACTCTGACGGTATTTCCGCTGAAATGTCCACACCAGCGGGGACTTCAGAGCGGCGGCCGAGACGATCTTCGGGATATCGGACAACCACCGGGGGAAGACCCGTGACACCGGTGCGGATCGTGAGCCCGCGGTATATATAAAAATGTCCGCATGCCACCCGCGGCAAACATATCCGAGCTTCACGTCGCACCGAGGAAGAGCCATCATGTGTAGGCTTAGAGTTGAAAACCATGGTGTTTTTCCTGTCTCCATGAAACTGCAACTACCTCGATACGTCATCCAAAGAGATGAACCTAATTACCCCAGTGGTGGGTAGGCAGTTGACGTACTCAAAAGAAGCCTCGCCTTTCTTCAGTACCGATACCTCATGCCACGTCCGGAACTTCTTCTCATTACCGAATGTCTTCGCGTGCTTGATGGCCCCGCGGTAGATCGCGAGATGGGATTTGTGTTTCTTGGCCCACTCCTCCAGGGTTTGCAAGCTCGTGAAGAACCCAGCGCCACATGTTTCTTTCTTCGTATGGCCTGCTTCATCACGGTTGCCAAGATACCTCAGCCCCATCGCTCCGCCATCATTCCGATTGTCCCATAAGTAACCCAAACCATTTCTCAAAGTTGGCTCCAGGTTATTCTCATAAGATTTGGTCTCTTCAGGGCCACAGTTCTCCCAGAATTGTCCAGATCGGATGTGTACCATGTGGTCATAGTTTGTCCCAACCAGGTGTTGCCCAAGTCCCTTCGGTGTCGTTTCTGGCCTGCTGCCTTGAGCTGCATCGTCTTGCTCGAAGAGGTCGTGCGCAGATTCAGGAATACGGTCTCTCGCAGCGCCCCAGTACGCAGTCAACTCATGTTCCGCCGTCTTGGTTCCGGGCAATTTCGCCAATCCAGGGATGTAATCGAGACCAGAGTAGTTTGTTTCCAGTCGAGAAATTAGTGTCAGGAAACTTTCGGTCCATAACCCAACATTCTTCCGGACGTTCTCGGGCAGGCTGGAGTGTATTGAGGGGAGACTGAGTCGCTGCAAGCTTCGCTTCCCTCTCGCTTCATCATTCCAGTAACACACCCAAATACTTGTACCCGGCAAGTCATCGCCATCCAAATAATTGAACCGCTCTTTTGCTAGTGGCGGGTCTTCGCCTCCATCAAGCCAAGCCTGAACAGCTGCGTTGACTTGCTCGATGTCATTGTCGCTGGAGTGCGGCTGCACGCCGATGTAAGCCGTGAACAGCCGCTCGACACCGGCTGGAAGGACCAGCTGCCAGCGGGGAATCGGAGGTTTGTGATTCTTTGGCTGTCGAAGAGGATATGTTCGCAAGGGACAGGCCATGTTTGTATCTTTCGCGAGTGCCTGCCTTTGATTCTAAGTCTCGTTTCGAAGCTTGAGAGGGGTATGATGTGCTTCAATTATCCACGGGAGTATGTCTGAAGGGCGCGGTCAAACGACATGCTGCGGAGCCGATCAGGGAAGAGCCATTACTAACAGAAAACGCCATTGGCCACAGGATCAGAATCGTGCGAATCGCATCGGGAGCTACTTTTGGCTCCGAGTCGAAATGGCGAATAGGCCATTGATACTACATGCACCTGTCATGGGCAAGATACTGTGCATGTACTGTTGGACAAGTCAGCGCAAACATACAACTCTGACATCTTTTCCATTGTATCAAATGATTTGAGCGGGAAAACATATTCTTTCAGTTGGCGAGATGTTTGTTTCGGGTTCGCTCCTTTGAGTGATTTAGAACATGGCACCAGCCTTGGAATAATCAGACTTACTGATTCATTGAGTGAATGACACCACGTCAGTCCTTACCTTAGGTATATGAACCGCAACAGCATGTATTTTGTCTTTATATCTGCGAACAAAAGAATTGTCAACTCATTTTCGGAGAGACACTTGAGCCCGGGCCTAGACCGCACCTTCTCACGTTGGGTGACCAGCGTCACAGTAAGACAACTTCAACAACGAAGTGAATCACAACCAAAAGAACCTCCCAGCTTTGGACATAATACATTATACCTAAATATCCGATTTCCACCAAAGGTAAGCAACATGTCTTTTCCAGCCTCTCATACTTACGTCCCGGTCACGGCGCCAGCCAAACGTGGTCCTTCTCTTCGAGTTAACACCTCTTCCTTCGAATATGGCGAGAAAGCGGTCTACCGAAAAACCCTCCGGATTGCCAACCTATCTCTCTCTGCCGCCATCGAAGAAGTTTCCAAGCAGCCCCTACCAGAATATGACCCTTACTCTCATGAGCGAGCGCAATTTTCCAGCTTCGCCTTAGAGCACTCGGGCGATGAGGGTCAGATGGACTACCTCCACTGGAAGATGGTGCACAACTGCCGCCCGGGGAGTATTTGGGCCATGTGCGGTTGTGAAAATACCATTATCGAAGTGCCGGGCGAGAATGAGGAGCCCTTGACGAATGAGGAGTGGAACCGGCGACTGTATGATGACCAGATCCCATTCGGCCTTCCAACGAACCAGCCTTCGACTGCGAACATCAACAGCGCAATACTGACGGATTACAACGGACCCGACTCACAGTCTGGCTCTTTGCAGTCGTTACAGGAGGCTATTACGGGAACCATTGCACTTGATCAGCAGGATCTGCAACAGAATTGCGATGGGTCTCCAAGTTTGGATCGGTCTGCCCCCTCGGAATCGTTGAGTCCTCTCGATGTGAATCCAGTGGAGCCTTCGCTTCAAATGCCCTTTCCTTCTGTGCTACAAGCATCGTCTACAGAACTATCTGATCAGCCCGCGTCCCAAGCCGAGCCCTCACTTCAAATGCCCTTCCCTTCTGAGCAACAAGCATCTTCTGTAGACCATCCCGGTCAGCCCGCGCCGCAACTAAATGAAAACGCCGAAGAGTTTGTCCCAAACCTTCGGGGAGGTGATACTCGAATCGAGCGCGATGCAGAAGGTGGGCGCTTAGCGTGTTCAGAGAGCAAGTTGCAGGTGCACTTAGGCCTGCGTATTTTGATAATTGTCTGCACGATTGGAGCCCTGGTAATGCTCATTCTCTTGATTATATTCTACACTAACCGGAAACTTCTTTCTGGCTGACTGTCGGCGCGCAGTTCTACACAGAAGCACTTGAATATTGGGTAAGTTGGAAGTCAAAAAGGTGCACAGCAATGCAGGACAATAGAGGAGTTTTGATATGCGGCCGGATACTTCGGGCTAACCGAACAATATGACCTGGTTGCATCGACTAACATCTCGTTCCGATGTCTGTGTTATGTCCATCACCGCTCTTGTCGTCTTCACGTTCATCATTCATACCATGCCCCTATGACTTGTGCCGTCAACGTGCCACTTCAACCACGAGCATCTTCGCATCATCTGCCTTCGGTGGATGCTGGCGTCAGCAGGACTAACCGAAGCATCCGGCAGTCTGTTCAACGCAGGTCTCTCGACGATTAGCCTGGAAGTCATATTGGTGAAGTTACTTTCCAAAGAATCTTCCATTTCCCATCACGTTTCACCAGACACAGCACGGCCTTAGATGAACCGCATCTGATCTCGAACAGAAACCGCTGCACATCACCGGCTTCACGAAGTCCACGAATGAGTGACCAGCGGCTGCTCCGGAAGCTTGCAGCGGACGGTCGAGAAGCCATACCGTTGACGAGGCCGGTTCTCGAAACACCCACCCACCTCTCATAACTGTGATAAGAAGACCAAGGTGCACACCACATCACGCCCACCTTGGTATCATAACGTTCATTCATAGTTTGACAACCGCATAGATGAGGCTGTCGAGGTTGACCCGAGCAGCCGGTGTGGAAGACCGGATTCGGAATGAGGGGTTGAATGAGAGAACGGACCTTGACCAAAAACAGCTGCCATGAACCTACAACATGTCGTAAATGATTCGTAAATGTCGAACCTGAATTTGATACATAGCTGAGTAATTGAAAGCGAAAACAGTCACGGAAGTGACATCCTGGTGATTACCATCGCCTGTACGCATCCCCGTTCTTCCCAGAACACGTGGCAAAGCTCCCTCTTATTACAAGATGGACAAACACCACAGCGACGACCGAATGGCAGTCGCGGAACGGCATGTCTTGGCAGATATCGAGAGGGTGTAGGGCCCAAGCTCCCTCCGTGAGAACATGGCAACCCAGTGAGGGGGTTCGTGATTTGCATGATGAAGCCGCCAGGTTAGCTTTTCGTCCGATGCCTGATCATTAAACTAAACTGGATACGGATACAACATCAAGCTCCTATGAATATCTAGAAAAGCTCTCTGCAGCCCGACAGTTTGTAGATGGTATCAGGCAGTATCTCGATCTATCACAAAAACTTCTTACAACGTTACTTGATCTCCTACAAACATGTTGAAGAACTGCATGCAAGCATTCCTCCTTACCCTCTGGGCCTCACACACTTGTGCCAAAGCCTTGGAGGCCCCCATTCCAGGCTACGGCGTCTTCCTTCCGCGATGGGAGATCACCGGTCCAGACGGTAAGAACCTCGTGCTCCGCGGCACGGTCGAGGAAGTCGCCGGCCAGCTCCGCAGCATGAACCCGGACTGGGATCACAAAGCCGCCGCCCGCAACCTCCAGGACCGCGCTGTCTTTGACGACAAGTCGAATACGCTCTGTCACAACTTTCGCGAGGGCAACCGCTCGGCTGCCACGCTGGATATTGACTACCTTCGCTCCGTGCCTGGGAAGCCACTCAATGGAGCCGGCCCGGCCAATTGGTACCTATGCTCTGAACTATTGCTTCTTCTCAGCTGAGCGCCGCTAACCTCTCACAGCGGAAGAGTGAGCTGCCGGAACTCTACCGGAATTTGGTGGTGCAACGACGTAAGTGAATGACTCCACCACCAACAGCAGACCCTTTGAGAGCACATCTAACATCCCTGAACAACTCAGGTCAACAGCCCTAAGGAGCTCACCTCCTTCGCCGACATTGCAGACGGCGCCAGCCGCGTCTTGAGCGTCTGCACGGACAAGTTGGACGCCAACCAGGGAGAAGCAATGACCGTCAGCGGCCAAGCCTTCCATCCGGAAAACTGGAACGTGGTCATTCGGGGTGGTGACGATTGTTCTAACTCTGGCCAGAACATCTCAGCCAGAGGACTGAAACTGTCTCGATTCCTCAAGTTTTTGTGAACATAACCAGGGCAGGCCAGGTTATGAATGGGCAGTTTTGTTCAACTACAGCACCGCTGTTGGCCTGGCTATATCTAGACGTGTTGCAACTACCAATATCCGCCGTTCAAGAATTTTGTTCACATTGCTTACTTTCTTCCACCGTGATGACAGTCCAGTGATATGATGATGATGTGATTATATCAACAATATCTTGCATTTATTTCCTGCCTTGATATAAGGGCAATCATCCCTACAATCCTTGCGGAAAGGGGTACTGATTTCTGGCTTCCGGTAAATGATGACACGTAAACTGCTAATCATCTCATCGCACTGCTCATATCAGTGAATTCTTCAAAAGTCGTACGCCTACTCATAAGTCGTGTTTATCGATTCCCTCCCTGATCCCCAGCCTCGAACCCATCACGACAGCTCACCAACAAGTCCCTCCCAGCTCTCATCCTCCAAAGCCAGTCCCCCAGACGTAGTCCCATACCCCCTCTCCCTCTCCCTGAGCACGCCCTTCCCCCTCTTCTCCTGCATCCTCCTCTGATCCTCGCGATACCACCTCCAAACCGCAACCCAGAACCCAACAAAGAACAGCATCATCCTAAATCTCGTCAGCCCATCCCTCCATCCGTCAAGATGAACCGTCCAGAAATGAGAACTCACCACATCGAGACAACCCCAATCACAACCCCAACCAACCCTTTCCCCGTACTGCCAACACCCCCCGCACAAACAACGACACCACAAAAGCTCGCCATAACCAACCCGGCAGCCTGCATCCCCAAATCTGCCAGCCTCGTCCGCGCCTTCACCCCATACAACAACACCCCCGAAAACGAGACGCTGAAGAGGACCAATAGCCCCGGCGACGCGACCTCGGCCAACCTATTATCTCCCGTCAGCATCCACTTCCTGTCACATTAAGGCATGCCAAACATACCAAACCCAAACCTCAAAGTCCTCTCCATACATACCCATCCACACAATCCACCCCTCGACAAACACCACAGAAACACACTGCATCACCAGCAACGCCGTAAAGGCGACATCTCCCCGCCCCGGACCCCACCATCCTTTCGCCTCAGCGCCGCCGGAGGAGCGGTCCACCCGCAATCTCCTCACCGCCGCCTCCTCGTCGTAGTCTTGGACCGTGATGATGGGCAGATACCCCGTCGACCCGTTCCACGCCACCTTCTCCTCCTTGGGCGAGCCGACGCGCGTGAGGATTGCCATCAAGGCGAGCCGGGAGGCCGTCTCCATGTCTTCCAACCTCTCTGCGTGTGTTGTGTGACGTGGCGACGTTGTGCAGGAGGCGTGATCCGATTTCGTGCGATTCCCCGGGTTATCGATTCGAGCAATAAGCCGAAACAGGAATGTTCGACTCGATGTGTAATTTTACACAGGCAAGTCGTATTTGAGCGCTGCGATAACGTCAATAACAATAAGTTGTGGTGTCGTTTGGTCCACATGACCACCCACCACCACCTGGCACCTGAGCACCTCATCCCCGCCCCCTCAGCTGGCCAACCCCAGACTCATGTCTCAGTAGCACACGAGCACGCGCGAGACTCGGCATCAGTCACATATCTCTGTTATACACGCTACATCATTACTCCAAATCATAATTCCGGCCGGGACCCATCATACTCTACAACCGACAACGCCAAAAATGCCCGCCCATCCGTCCGTCCAAACCATGCCCTCCCAATTGAAGAGAGAAGATGAAGCGTCATAATACTGGCCACGGCGGGAATCGCCTTTACTCCAGGCTCATCCTCGCCTCGTCGCCAATACCCCATTGCCCGCCGTCCTTACCCTGCAGAGCAAGATTGAGCTTCAGCCCCAACGCCGCTGCTTCCTCCTCGCTCTTGGCCTCGCTGGCCCTCCGGCTGCGGTCCTGCTCCGTGTCGACCTTGCTCGAGATGCTCTTGTCCGTAACTTTTCTCCTGAGCGAAGGCGTCTTGAAGAACGACCTTCCACCGGAGCTTGTCGATAGCGTCGACGCCGTATCGTCCTTTTCTCTTTCCGCATCCTTGTTATGTATCGTTAGATCCGGCGTTGATTGTGCGGGGGAAACCATCTTCTCCTCGAGAGTGCTGTATCTCTGAGTCGTCAGGGCGGGACCCGGGGGACTACCTATCGGCGAGCCGGGTCGCGGCGGCGCTTGTGCTGCGTCGAGTTCGTGTGCAATCTCGTCCTCGGAAACCTCCACCAGTTCGGCATCGCGGTACCACTTTCTCCGGCGCGTCCATCTCCCCCAACCGTCTGATCCACGGCGGCCGTTTTGCCACTGTGCCCGTTAGTTCTAGCCTCGTTGCTTCCTTGTCAAGGAGAAGCATACCTTGTTATCGTAGTATATCCAGCCGTTCTTACCGGCTTCCCCGTCGTAGTCCACTGGCTCGGTCCCATCATCGGGCACACCGTCAACCCGCCACTTGCTGCCCTCAACCCACCGCCAGCGCATGTTGCTACCATCCTCGACTTCGGGCAATTCAAAGGTGTCACGCGACGGCACAGGGTTGTTGTGCTCGTCAGTCCATGCAGAGCGTTCATAGGCGAACATGCTCTGCGTCCAGCCGAGGCCGACCCACCGTCTTTGGTTCTCGTAAATGATGAATGTGAACTTCACACCAGCGTCCTTGCTTGTAGCGTTGTTGCTGTGCCTGTGAGACTGCTGGCGTAAGGCCTTGGTCAGCTCTGACGTCGCCGGACGCTTCGCCTGCACCTTGCCGGGTTCTCCATTCGCAGACAGGTCCACCGCAATTGCCTTGACAGGCTTCTCAAACGTCAGGCCGGTGAACAGAGCAGCTGTCTTGCGAACCGTTGCACTACGCCACAGAAGTGTTCGAGCGACGCGCATGACCCTGGCATGCCATGTCAGGACTAGGGTGCCGAAGAGCAGCGCTATCCTCCTCGTCGTGATGATGCGCAGAGGAGGTAGAGTCAGAATCACCCAGAACGGCGTGCAGAACAGTATCCTCACGAAGAGCGTGGTTAAAGCTGGTCTGGTGGTGGCCGACGTCGGGGTCCGCTGGGTGCTCAGGAAGTCCGTCAGCTCGAGTAGCGGCTCGAGGAGCACGTTACACCGTCCGGTGAACTCCTTCAGGGTCTCGACAATCTCGTCCAACGTCTTCTGGTGCCTTGTGTTTGTGATCTCCGACTCGTTGCGTTGGTGTCCCTTTGCGGCGTTGCCGGTTGTGTTACTCTTCGGCGCCAGCTTCTGTCCCTTGCCTGCAGCCGAAGGTCCCGCAGCCTGTCCACCGGCAGCATCCTTGGAGGCCGGTTCTGTCCATCCGCTGCTGCTCAGTGGACTGAAGCGACGGCCATACATGCCCAGTATCAAGGTCAGGACGACGACGATGGGCCCGGCCATGCGCACGACAATGTCTCCGTACAGCACGACGGCCCAGAAGGAGGCGAGCAGGAGGAAGCTCTCCCACGGGTCGTCGGTGGTCCATGTCAGCAACCCAGCGAGCTTATTGAGAGGAAGCAAGAAGGGATGCGAGTATGCCAAGGCGCGTGTTATCTGGGGTGGTGTGGCGAGGAGCAGAGGCGACTTTTGATGGACGATGATTGTTGAGCGACGGGAGGAGCGGCTCGGGGTGTTTGCGGAGAGGGTGACGGGGGAGAATGTCGCGTAGGTGGGGGGCGCGCCGGAGGGTGTGCCGTCGTAGCCGGAGCTGGCTTGGGAGGGATCGATCGAGTCGGCATCGGGGCCGCGGTGGGCTTTCGGGGTCGACATGTGGACTAGCCAGGGCGTATCCTACGCGAAGCACGGGGAGGTTAGCCGGGCTGTTGGGGGTGGATAGACGATGGATGCGAGATGACAAGCAGCAGCAGCAGACGATACGGCGGCCGGGCAAGTCAGTGTCGCTGCAGAAAGGCACACGAGGCGAGGGCCATTTGGGTGCAGGACAAGAGAGAGTCGACGTAGTTGGAGAAGAGGGAAGAGGATGTGGCAGGTGAGGTTATGACGTGGCTGATGCGTTGAGAGAGAGCCAAAGCGCGAGGCCAGGCCGAGGAGCTTTTTGCCGTGTGGTGGTCAAGTGTTTGCCCGAGGAAGGTAAAGAAAGGTGTAGTGTAGTGGTTGGTGGTGACAGCTGTCCGGAGCTCTCTCTGTTTGCTGGAGTGCTTTGCTCTGCTGAGCTCGCAGCGTAGTGCGCAAGGATGCGGCAATGCGACGATGGATGGGACGGAGAGGAGTGGAGGCAAACAACAGGCAGGCAGGCAACTCGTCTGGCTGGATTGGATGCCGATGGACGGGGCAGATGGAGAGAAAAGAGCAGGGGGAGGTGGTGGCTCACAAAGGCAGCCATCAATGTCCGGGCTTCCGCTGATCTTCGGGGGGCCCTGCTGCGGGTTGCTGCGGGTGTTGCTCGCTGGCCGGACCTCGTCGGGTTGCGGCTCGTCGACGACGACGGGAGGTCGAGATGGCGGACGAGGACGAGATACGTCAAGTCAAGAGGTCAAGAGGTCGAGGGGCCAAGCCCAGCCGCGGGGAGAATGGAATGCCGTCGTCGCGGGGAACGGAGCAGCGCATGCGCTTTCGTCGGTGTCGGGTCGCGCCGGTGGATCGCAACGTCATCGGTTTCGGTCGCTTCGATTGTAGGTGGACACGGGAATGGGTTGTGTGTCGCACTCGCCCAGCTTCAGCTCGCCAGTGTCCGTGTCTTCGGCATTGGGCAGCGTGTGTCGTCGACTGCTGAGGCTTCAGGCTTCAGGCTTCCGAAAAGCGTGTTGTTGGTGTTGTATTGATGCAGAGTCTGGTGTTTTGGTGTTGAAAAGGTAAGAAAGACGTCCAGGAAGGTGCGTATGACAGAGGAAGGAAGACACGACGGACTCTTCGGAGGTGCCTGCCTGGCGCTGCAGAAATGCGACAACGATAAAGGAAGGCCCAAGGCGCCTTAAGGTACCTTGGGTAGGGAAGGTCACAGTACCTTAACCGCGGGTCAGGATGCAGCTCCCATTGCAGCTTTCCCCTTTAGCGTCTGTTTCCCGCCCTTCCAAGTCCCTTTCCAGCGCAAACAGCACCTGTAGCCCGCGACGCAGTGGAGCTACACGCGCATTCCAACCCCGCCCTCACCACTGTTGCCTGCATGGAGCCCGCCATTCCACTGCATTGGATTGCATTGGATTGGCTTGGGCTGGGTTGGGTTCGATCCCCGGCCTGCTTTATTTCCCGGCAATCACATGCAAATGCGAATGACGGACAGCACACCTCTCACAGCTGTGGATTGATCCATGGGTCCACGAAAGCTGGCCCTTGTCACAACACACATCAATCACATGGATCCCAGCTCCAGCCAACATCACACGCTCAACGGAAGCAAGCAATGACTGAATAGTACAAATATCTTGTCGACACCTTCTCAACTCTCTGCTAAAGCCTCTCCTCTGTACGAGGTATGCCTTCTGCTCAAGGCATATCAATCTTTCGCTAAACTGCGACAAAACTCTGCCATGTAAAAACAACAGCTGGTCCTTTTCCCTGTCCATAAACGCCCCATAGGTATCCCGTCTTTGACTACCTTAAACGACGCCCACCGCAGTCCCATGCCAGAGACCATTCAAAGCGGCCCCCCCCCCCATATGCTCATATACGTAACAAATGAGAATCGTTGCTCAACCCCAATTGCTGCCTTCCTCGCTCTCCGTCTACCCCAGGTGCTCAATCTCCTCGTTCTTCCTCGTCACCCACTGATAAAACTTGAGTGCCTGCATGCCGCTTGATCGAGAACTTCCCGTCAACGAATTGGTCTCAAACGTGAACCGCTGCTCCAACGGCGTGCCGTCTTCGGTCTTGAGCACAAGCCGAACTGCTTCCTTTGTGTGTTGGGCGGCCTTGACCGTGCGCGCATCCACCGTCGCCGCGAAGCCGTCCTTCGCCTCGCCTCGCGCGACCCCGCGTGTATCGTCCTCGATGTGGAAGTGCAGCATATTCTCTCCTCCGCCAATCCACCTCCTGTTGCCCTCCGAGAAAGACGCCACGTCGATCGAGAGACCGCCCAGCTCCTTCTTACCACCCAACACGGGCGATGCCGCCGCACTACGGTCGACAAGAGGAGACCGGATCGATGCCGGTGTGATGTGAGGCGACTCTGATGTCCGTACCGCCCGCCATCGGTCGTCCACGTTCTTCGTCAAAAGCCTCGGAGTGCTGTTGCCAGACGCAGTCCCTCCGTTCACAACAATGCTGTTCCCATTTACCGCCGTCGGCTGCGGAGTCGTTGGCTTATCGTCGAGAGCACCGATGCTCATTCGCGGGTCGGATCGGCGTTGCGTGCTTTCAACACTGGCACTTCTGGATGCCTCCGTCGGCGAAGGCTGCTTGCTACCCTCTCTCCCCTGCCCGTTGACAGATAGTTGCGGGCTGGCCTGGACTTCAATGCTCAGCTCCTTCCTAGGCTCCGGCTGAGAGGACTTGTCGGCCGGTTGCTGGACTGGCTGCACCTGAACTGAGGGCTTGGGTGGCAATGCATGTCTCATCGGTGCCGACTGCTTGGCCCCAGTGGCTGCCCCTCCTGCTTCCGAGGGCAGAGGTCGTCGTGGTTCCGCCGGCGTCGAGGTGTTCGACGGAGTCGGCTGTCCCTTGGCCTTGTCCGAGACGGTGCTGTTGAGGAGGTTGGCAACCTGCAGTTTCGGGCTGACCTTGGGGAATTCCTTCTCCAAGCTGGGCGACTTCGACGCGCCGCTCCTTTCTCCATTATTGTTCGCTATATTAGCGGGAACTGAAAGAGACTTCTCACGCCTGTCGTCGTGGGAGCTTTCACCACCTCTTTCCGCGGCCCGGCCTGCTGTCACCTTCGGGTCCTCGAGCATATTGCGCTTTTCGGAGAGCTTGCTCTGTGCCATCTCTGCCAGTTGTCTCGCGGAAATGGCATCGACCATCGACTTGTCATTCTCCGCTCCCTTCGAGACCCCATCAGGCTTCGGGGTCGCAGGTGTGCCGAGAGCAACCTGCGGGATATCTCGGGAGTTGCTGGAGATATTGTTGGGCGTTGTCGTTTCCTTGTCCTCGGCGATCACTCGGCTCTTAGACGGTGTACTTTGCACTTCGGCCGTGTCTGTGTCCTTTTCCGCCCCCACAGGATCCTTCTTCGCCGAAGAGCGTGTTCCGGCCGCTGCTCCAGTTCGGTGTAATCCCATGCTCTCGCTCAGTCGCGACGTCGGGCGCACCTCTTGAGTGCTCCGTCTGAGGGGCTGGGGCGTCGTGGGTTCCGCATCTGCCATTTCGTCGTCCGAGTCGTTACGGCCTTTTTTAATATCCACATAGTCCTCGTCCCCAGAGTCGTCAAGCTTCGGGGGGTTGTCGCCAAAGTCATACATGTCCACGTCTTGCGAGGCAGAGTCCGACTCTGAATCTGGCGACGGCACCTTCGCAGACGTACTGGGATCCGCGGGACTCTGCGACTGCAAGGCCAGTTGCCTCGCACGCATCTCCTCCCACGAGTTGAAGCCGCGTAAAGAGGCATACAGCTTTCGTGCCCGGCTCTCGTTCGAGTTGGGATTCGTGTTCCTGTTCGGGTCGTCCAGTCGGAAAGGTCTCAGGTACCTAGCGCTCAGCCATCCAAGGCGGTTTTCCCCGTTATTCTCAAACCACATCACCGGTGCCTGTCGAGCTAGTACGTTCGGCTCTCCATCTCTGTACCCCTCAGCCCAGCCAGCGATACCTTCCGCATCGAATATGTAGCACGCTGGCCTCATTTGCTTGTCCGTGTAGAGTTTCAAGTCGCAGAACTTCATATCGTGCCAGCCACATCGCGCGAGATCCTTCCAACCGAGGACCATGACCGGATACATCTTCCTATCTGCCGGCCAGATAGCCCAGTAGAGCTCTCCAGCCTCAAAATCCGTGATAAAGTCTGTGAACTCTTCCTTCGGGTTCTGCCGAAGAACAGCTTGACCTCGCGGGCTAGGATCCGGCGAAGCACCGAGCATATCGTGGTTGGATTGACGCTTGCCGCCGGATTTGGGGCCATGCAGCTGGTTAAGAGGCTTGTATCCATTCTCGAAGGCTTTTTGCACAAAGTCGTTGTTCAGCTTTGCAAGCTCCTCAGTGCAGTCCACGACATGGAAACCGATCGTTCGGATAGCCAGTCTGTGTTCCTTCTTTTGGTGTCCGTGGGAAGCTCCGTGAAGATGCTTCGCCGCAGCAGCAAGCGCATTCTGCTTGAAGTGAACACCGTGTTCGTCGCACCTACGGTTATCTGGTCAGACACAGTTTTTTACCTCGACGAGTTTTTGTTTTCAACGACTTACTTCAGAATGTAGAAAATGTCCTCGAACTTAACGATTGTGTGCTTGAACTCGGCCTTTCCATCTTGGTAGATTTCGTTGAAGGTGATGGTTTTAGGTGCCATGGATTGAGGGGTTCCTGTCCGTAGACGCTTCGGATCCGTTTCCTGGTAAGAAGAAATCTCACTGGCGTCTGACTTACGCTTCAGTTGTCGGTGGGGATCCGCCTGGAGCTGTCTGGAATATTCGTCTTGTCGCCCCGGAGAGAGATGAATGCCATTGCCAACTCGGACCATTGTAGGTCTATCCTCACGAGGATGTTGCATCTGCTGATGAATTGGGGGAATCGGCACACGTGCACCTCGACCAGCCTCAGCCGGATGGCTCATCAGATGAGGGCTACCAGCACAGCCTGGGCCATGGCTCGAAACCGCATTTTGCATAGGGCCGGACATTCCACTGCCGAGGATAGGTGCTCTGCCGTTTGAGGGAAGGGTCCGCGGAGCAGTCTCTGCTGCTTTGGTCACAGCTCCTGGGCGGCTCTGCTGGTACATATTTGCCTGCATGTGAGGAGGGGCGTGATGCGATGGAAGCTGACCGTACGCTTGCCATTGCTGGTGGTTCTGTTGCGTTGGCATTGGGGCGGAACTGATGTTGCTTGACGCCTGGCCGTTTGGTCTTGGTGTCACAGTCTGATTGTGCTGGGTAGCCTGAGTGTGTAGCTGAACCTGAGCAGGGGTCGGTGTACGATTTGCCGCTGCAGAGGAGGCCACAGTTGGGGGCGCGTGAGCCACGCTTGACATTGATGATGTCGGCAGCGGGAACGTCAGGTGATGCTGGCGGAACAATTCCTTCTCCTGCGCCTCCAAGCTCTTGATGGAGCGTTCGTACTCACGGTCACACTCAGCAAGGCGGCGATTCTTGATCTCAGCCTGGTAGAGAAGAAAAAGATCGAGAACCGGCCGCGGCAGATTCTGTTGATCTATGAAACGCGCCTGCTCCTCCAAATCGCGGCAGCTATTTTGCGTTTCGCGGGTGAAATTGGCCTTGATGTCCTCCTTCTCAGCCTCGAAGCGTCGTTTGTAGGCTTCCAAAGTCGTGAACCAGGTGGTTCGTTCCTGGTCCAGATTTGCCTGTCGGCTATGGCTCTGGGCCGCAGCCACGGCAGAACCTTGACTCGCCATTTCGGGGGTAATGGAAATAACCATGGATGATGAGAGGCGATTTTTGGTTAAGCAGAATTGCTTCTGCTGAGTTTCTTGTTGGAGTTGAGGGGCTGACTCAGGGTCGTCGAGCCATGCCGCAATTCCCAAGTTGTCCGATTTACAGACCTGCAACCTCGTTAGCAGCCATACAAAGACTGTGTACACTTTGGCAGTGCCAAAGAGATCAGACCAGGAGAAACCTACCGCTTACTTGGTGGTGACCGCGATGAAATCCCGCTTTGTTCACAATGAGCCCGCCTCAGCTTTTTTTGAAAGCGCGTGGCGAATAGGCTGTCAGGACAACGGCAAACTTGTAAATTTCCCGATGCCGACAAACAGACGCGTCAGAAAAAAAAACAGACTCCGTCCGATTACTGATCCCGGCCGATGATACTGCGATTAGACGACCGAAAGTACACGTCAAGTTTGGAATCTGGCTCCGGTGTGAATTGGCAAGCGTTGATCACGAATTGTCGTTTGCCTATCAGGCCGCAGGAACCGCGGTCAACAATTTCTTGAGAGAAGAAAAGAGCAGAACTGCCGATAAAATGGTCAAGAGGCCGAGGAAAGGAAGTCGTCGAGAGAGGTGGAAGTGGGCGGTGATGAGATGCCGTCCAGAGTCGTTGGTAATAAGGTGACGCTGATGGGTCCGGAAGGAACTTTTGACCGGGCAGATAAAGGAAAGGGGCTAGTGGATGGCGTCTGCCTGTTGTTGATGGATGACTGCTGCGTCGTTAGTCTAGTCCCAGGCAGACGCAGCTGAGAAGTGGATGTGGGCAGTCGTGGGTGGTCGAAAATAGAAGTCGTGTCAAGGAACAAACGTGTTTGTTGGGTGTGTGAGTGGTGAAGGAGGAGAGGAAAAAAAAAGAAGGGCCGCCGAGGTGGGTAACAAAGGGCGATGATGTTCACGCAAGGTGAAGGGCCCAGAGGTGAATGAAAAGAAGATGTTGGATGCCGGGGTACCAGGGGTGGTCAATTAAACCATTGTTTCGGGAAAGAATGCTCTAATCCGAAGGACAGCAGCGACTTCCAGCAGGCGAGGAAGGCGAGGAAGGCGAGGAAAGTGGCTTCACGTGAGGAAGGCAAATGTGGATTCCAAGGAAGGCAGGGCGAGGTAGGTGCATGAGAGAAAGAGACGGTGATGGCAGGAAGGAATGCGAGTTGGGTAAGGTAAAGGTAAGAAGGAACGGGAGAGGATCTGGTAAGGTAAGGAAAGTGGACACCTGCTGTCGTAAAGAGAGAGCGAGAGATGCAACAGACGCATACGTACCTTTCTTTTTACTGTGGCCTACACGATGAGGCAGGAAGAGTGAGATGATGTGGATTGGGGGAGTTGCTGGAAGGGGACGGGGAAGGGGAAGGAAAAGAAGGAGGGAAAGCGAGGACGTGTTGCGATGGGTTCAGGAGCAGTCCGTAATGTACCTAAGTAGGGAAAGAACGTATGGAATACGGGTGAGGTGAGGTTGGTAGAAGGTATGGAAGGTATGGAATGGAAATTGGTAAGGAAGGAAGGACAAAATAAAATAAGAGGGTACCGAAACAGGTAAGTATAGGTAAGGTAAGGTAAGGTAAGGTAGGCAGGTAGGCAATGCAATTCCCGTGTGCTTCCCTTCAATCAAAAAGGCAGAAGAGAAGAAACAGCAAGTACACACTCACACATGCACAAGTACTACAACCACGTTCTGGGCAGGCAGTAGGGGAAAGTGCTTCATTTGGTGGCTACAGGACTAGAGACTCAGCTGGGTAATGTTGGTTTATCAGCGGCCTATTGCTGCATTCCTTACGCCGCCCAGTCCCAGTCCAATCCAGTACGGATACACTGCCTCTATTTGGGAGGGGAGGTACCTACCTCTAGAAAAGATACCTGGCCGCCGAAGTACCTTCCTTGCCTGCCTGCTGCCATGGAGGGAGCTCCGCAATAAAAGAAATACATAGTACAAATGGAAAGAATAAAAAAAAAAAAAAAAAAAAGGGTACGTACGTGCCACCGGCTGACACTACTAATTAACTCCGAGCCTGAACACGACACTGGCCAGTGGCACACACTTTGACACTGCTCCTGCTCACTGAGCACTGACTGGATACGCCCACCGGAACGCTACGTATCGGGGACATTGGACATTTGTTGGACACTTGGTAGTATCCGTACAGACACCAAACATCAGACATCAGACATCAGACATTGGGCAGTGCCTTTTGTATCAGAGCTACAATCCCCTCAAGATGGGCGCCTCGGTCTCCGTTTCCACCCACCGGCACACTGCGCCGAGGGTTTCCCGATTACCCGACACAAGAGACACGCCTTCATTATCATCACCACATAATCCCCATTCCGCACCCTCATCCTCTTCGAGTAAACCTTTCCTGACGCTAAAATTGCACATCATCCTCGTGGCTCCCCGGCTCCACCTCGGCCGACCACTTCGCACTCAGAAACGAGCAAGGGATAAAGATGGGATGGGAAACGCATCATGGATTCGCCAGCAGCGAGCAGAGAGCACTCAGGCACTGCACTCACACTGCACTGCGTCCTGAAGCCATCCATGGCACTTGAACCATGGAGCAATCCGCTTCCCGGCATCCCAACAACATCCACGCCGCATCCAATATCCATCCACGCCGCGCCCTGCCCAGACGCCCTTTACGCCCTGCCTCTGCGCCTCCATCCAATCTACCTACACAGTACACTTGCGACATACACCATGCCTTACCTAACCTGTCAGTCATGACATGCTCACCTGCGAGCTGTCGCATTTCTCGGCATCGCGTACAAAGTGCACTCACTGCGTACGCCAGCAGAAACAGAAACAGAAACCGAGCCGAATATGACGAATACCCTTACCATTGATTGTCGCCGGTGGCATGGACCGAGACCCCCGTCCCGACTCCTTATCTCAGGTCAAGTCTCAGTCTCACTTACCACACATGCCCATAATCCCACCATATGTCTCCTCTCGTTACGCCGCCCTCTTTACACCAAGCCTCAGCACTAACGCCTACCGATACGGTTCGCCTGTTCGGTCCTTGGTATGACAGGACAGATCGACCATCATACGCTTGCCGCGCATGTACGGATACCTCCTTTTGCTATTCTCAGACAGCACGGGTAGCCTATCCATCATGCGCCCCTCACCATGACATGCCGCATTATCGCGGAACGGAACCATAAGTGCGGTCTCGTCGTATCCCATCCGAGAGAGGAGACTTGGATGTGTGCCTGGGCCACCGCGCCCACCGGCCGCTTCCCTAGCTAGCACTCTCAGAGACCCAGAGACCCAGGCAGTACGGATAGGGTCCTCATGCCCAAGAACATGCTCGCAAACAAGAAAGGATACTTATCCGAGAGGTATCTCGTAGAGCGCCGGGTACCTCCCCCTCTCCCCTGTCACCACATCCAAGGACTCCTTCCGACGCACTTTAAAGGTAGGGCACGGGTATATCGTACAGTCATACAGCACCGGCTTAACCCTGTGATTGGCCACTTGAATTCCCAGTGTTTACACTTCTGGTAATTTTCGCCCGTGTCCCACGCGATTCATCAACCCCCTGCCCAAACTATTTTCCCCCCTTCCTCCACAATGGCAACTGGACAGGAACTCACTCACACATTGCCCTTCTGCTAAAGTGGCCGTAGCGTAGCGTTCCCTATGTAGCCTTTTGGGCCTTGGCTCAGCGTAGCGCCGCAGGGACGGCCACATCCAATAACACTACCACTCACCAGCTCTGTGCTTGTCATTGTATCATTTGCCATGAGTCTAGCAAGCAGATCGGCATCTTGTTCTCTACCGAAAAACACCACTGCGATCCCCAATCGCATCTCCGCCTCACCTTCACCTCTTTGCGCCCAGCCAAGCCCAGGCCAGCCCACCAGGATGTCGAATCCGCGTACTCGGTCGGCGCACACTAGTTCTTCTCTGTCAGTATGTGTGTACACTTCGTACTAGCCCCCCTTTCACCCATGTCACAGATTGAAAATCATAGACGCCGTCCCGTCACCTCCCACTCACCCAACATGAGCCTGAGCCTGATCCTGAGCCTGAGCCCAGGTCTGACAGGGCCATCTTGACGCCGCGGACTGCAATTCCGACACGACGCGCAACTCAATCTTGCCTTCTTCCGCCCACCTCGCGTTCGTTCTTGACCCGTCACTGGTACGAATGGAGCTCAGACGGACGGAGTTATCCTGCATTCGGACTGACACAGTGACACTGACCCTCCCCCAAATCGCCCACTGCCCAGCAGCTCTGTTAGTGAGACCAGGATGCAGATTGTACCTTAATTCACTACTGGCCCAATATCCCGCGGCTTAATCCCACTTCATCCCCTCTACGGATACAGCTGTATGGCTAGTGGCTAATTGGTACTAACAGCCCTGTCCGGGAGACCCCTCTGCTCGCATCTGCCCCATTTCGCCGTCAACCGAAGAATGAACGAAAAAAAAAGTACTCGTAGCGCACGCACAGCTGGGGCGGAGCAAGTTGGCGACGACTGATACAAGTGCTGGCCACCCTTGGCGTCGCGCACACTTTCCGACATGCTCGCTCTCGGTGACCCATTCATCCAGCGCCGCAAACGCAAACGCCGACGACAGTGGGCAGACAGAAAAATTGAATGACAAACGCCCTACGGGCCTACGGGCACAGATACGCTTTCTCTGTGCTGGATCGTATTCCGGAAGAAGCAAGTCGGCCCACGGGGCGTCTAACCCCATTACAGTCATTGTACGCACCAATAAATCATCTAGCTACAGCAGAGACCACCAACCGGCGGCACAGCAGCACGGTCCAATCCCCAGGCGAAACTTTCTTCTTCTTGAATCTTCCTCTCTACTGATGTACATTATATGATGATCAGACTAATCAGAGTCATCTCATCAAACATCTGGAAACTCTCTGTCCGCGCAACGGTTCGCGAGCGTCCAGCGGAGCTCCACGGAATACACGCACCTTTTTTTCCCCCTTTTTACCAACGGCGCCCATGGGATGCGCGTGCAACTCTAACATACACACATACATACATACATACATGCATAGAGGCCCGCGGCGGACGGTCAGTCCGACAACCATCAAATCATCTTCAACCTTACTCGTGTGCTGCGGCATCCGATGAAGCCCGGTGATACTGTTGCACCAAGAAAACCCTAAGCCCGTTCTCGAAAGCGAGCCCGGTAGGAATTTGACTCTAACTGATACTGTACGAGCCCAGAGTCACAAGCATTCCTCGCCTACATTACTTGGGAATGGGAAGCTTGGCCGCGAAATGATGCCATGGAGACCTTTGATTATCTAATATCATCGTCTTCCTGAATCAAACAGTGAAAAAGAGATCCCGCCGGCCGGGCCACCCGAGCGCCGTGCATCACCGCGCGCAGAGACCACCACACCCACCATGCCCCGAGAATTTTTAGCCGATGCCTCCCAGTTATTAGCAGGCAACTTGTCAAATGGCCCCTTCAATATCGGTATCCCACAATACGGATCCAATCAGGGGCGAATGATTGCGAAACCGAACAACTCTGTAACTGACCCCAATGTCACCCGCGCCTGTCGGAATACCTACCTGCTTACCGCAAAAGCGAGCATGGCTATTCTCTTCTCCGGCCACAGCCTGAACAATGCTGTCGTCGAAATGGTGAGCGTTCGTCGTACGGAACATGGTTCTTCGCGTTGCTTCAGTTGCCCATCTGTCAACCAGCAACCTTTCGGTTTTGTTATCAAAGACCAGACCAATCATTTGAAATTCCTGCCCCCTGCTCGCTTTCACCACAACACAGAGAGAGTATTACTGCTACTCGCATGATTTCCATCTTTGCATTTGCCATGCAGGCCAAGTCTTACGAGCACTATCCCCCTTTGGCGCCCAATCCCCGCACGCCACGCATGTGATGAGTGCGTGCCACACCTTTGCGTCTAGTATACGTGATCTGAAGTGTGTACTTTTGGACGCCATACGTATATATACCGCGTATTGCTTAGCTCGTTGGCGTAGCAAGCTTACCATTCGCCACCTTGTATCAAACGTGCATCGCGCCATTGAGACCAGTAGGCGCGCTATCGACTTGGTTTGGTAAAAGTGAGTCACTAGCCCGTAATCACTTTGTATTACATCTTCAATGTTGGCATTGGCATAAGCTGCGGGTGTTCATGTCAGACGCCGAATCGTTTATAAGTTGCCGATATGCAGATGGCCGCGTAGCCTCAAATCTGTGAAGAAAGATGCACAGGGTTTTAGAAAGCGTACCAGTCTTGAATGACTTAGAATCCCGAATCATCACCAAGTCTACACATGTCACGGAAACTTACTGCCTGGAACACGCCAAAAGATGGCATGCGCCGGACTACGGACGCTCACGATGCGGAGTCCTCCGCACCGGCCGAACCATGGAATTTTCCAATTCACCGACGGAGCCCGCCCCCTGTCTCTCTTTTGTAGCGGCGTAGATCACTAAACCACCCCGGTTCTCTTAACCGCTCCATCTCGACCCTGGAGCCAACCGAATAGACGAGAAAGGAACTGTCCCCCCTCCCCATAATGCCAAGTTGTTCTTTCAACCCAGCGGTCAAGGGTTTGGTTGTGGTGCTCATGTCCGCTGCGACGGGCCCGTCGTTAACGACCGGGGAGATAGTCATCAACACTCGTCAAGTATCAAGTAATCGTCGCTAATAGCTGAGTCAGAAGCGATCCTCCATTCTGTCCAAGATAGGCAATTTGTTACCGCAGCCATTCGTTGCAACGAATAACAACGATTATATGCGATCATCTCGGACCGATACCGACACCCGAGAAACGTCGTTATTAACGACCCCCCCTACAACACTCAGCCTCGTTATCGCATGGGCCACTCCAGCGTACGATGGTCTGTACAGACAGAGTAATGTACGCGCCCACGTCCCATCTGCCGGCGGGATGCGGATAGCTTTCAAGCATTCTTTCCAAACTGGGGCATTGTCCCCCGTAAGGCAAGTTCCCTGATTCGTGCAGTTGAGACCGTGGTCCCAAACCTTGCTCGTGCCCTCGTGGATAGCTCCGTCCGGGGACTTAAGGGAACAATCTTTGGCCGCCTCTGTCCCAACATCGCGTAGCGACTAGCGCATACATTCGCAGTAGTCCTTCAGTGTCGCAGCAAACCCCGAGGAGGTGTCTGACTGGTAGCATGCAAGATAGGATTTTGGCAGAATCACGCACATAGCCCGTCGTCCCATGTGTGTGCATTCCCCCATGTCCCCAGATATGTATCACTAAACATCGTGCGCCTTTCCCTTCCCTGCGCGCGCGGCTCTGTATCTGTAACTACCGAGTAGAGAGGAAAAAGTCTGTTGCGGCCTGTCATCAAACAACGTCGGCAAAGTTTACTGTAATGTAGTCTTTTAGAGTTATTTCCGCTCTTGCGCTGCGTAGGGCGTAACCGCCTACGCCGTGGGCTAGTCCGTCGACAAGCTCTTGCTCTCGGGCACGTCGCCCTATTTATTCCTTCCGCGGATCGCATGGCAAATAGGCCCCGAGCACCGACGCTGCGCGGACCAATGTACCGCTGGTTTTCCCCGAGCGCCGACTTCTGTCAATCTCCCACCCGGCACATCAGTAACCGCGAGAGATTCTCCCTTGCGTGCGTCTGGGACAGGCTCGGGGACTTCCATTCTGGTATGATTCCCGAGGTTCAGGCTCAATTTTTATTCTGCGCTGTCTACGATGCTACGTGTTCTCTATGGGCAGAAAATTAACATGCTTATTTCTTCAAACACGTTATGCGCGCGCCGCCGACTTGGCCGCCAGTAAAGACTTCATCCACGGCGTCGTAGAAGGCAGTCAAGTCGGCATCTACCGATGGGTCCTTTTTGTATGCCTCTGCACGGTCATGCACGAAATCGGTCCAGATGTCCGACATGTCCACCCAACTGACCACCTCCAATCCAGCCCTCTCCAGCTCTGCGATGTACTCCTTCTTGTCAGGCAAGTCGGGACAAGAAACAGACTCCCGGAGCACCTTCAGAGTCTTGTCATCCAGCGTCTGGCGCGCAAAGAAGTCTTCAATGTAGACCCTGCCGCCCGGCTTGAGCACATCATGCGCCTTGCCGAAGAGCGCCTCCCGCTCGGGAATGTGCAGGATACACAAGAAGGACACAATGTGGTCCACCGGCGCGCCCATTTTCTCCGGGGAAAGCTCCAGAAAGTTACCATTGATGGATGTGGCGCTCCCGCCGGCCCCAGACCTGACATTGATCGTCTCCGCAATCTCGTGAATGTCCCTCTGAAGTTCGATGCCAGTGGTCTGCACGCCGTAGTGCCGGTAGAGGTACCTTCCCGTGCCTCCGAATCCGGATCCGATATCCAGCACCCGGTTCCCGGCCTTCAGACCGAGCTCTTTGGCGGCGTTCTCGATGGCCTCGTCGCCAAGATAGTGCATGCAATCAAACCCCTTGGTGTCTTCCTCGTCCCAGACATCCTTCTCCTTGAGACTCTCAAGTGCGCGGTGAACCCGGTTCAGCTTGTAGAGATTCATCTCCGGGACGTCGGAGGCTAGCTGTGCGGAGGGCGACATTGTGGTAGAGCGCGAGGGATGGTCCGCGTCGTTACAATTTCGGGAACCTCGCTTTCGGGTTCCGCGCTCGGGAAGTTTAATAATCTGTAAAGGCGTAGGGGAGATAACCCTGGGCGGCGAGTTCAGTATTCGCCGTATTCGCCTGTTTTTGGGCTTTATTGGCAGGTGCCGACACGATCAGACGCTGGCCTGGAACGCTCTTTTGGCTTTGGGTCGCTCAAGGTATTGTGTTTCGATGGTAGTAGCAAGTCTTGGTTGGGTGTTGTTCCTGGTAGCGTTTTACCCCTCTCGTACAAAGAGCACCACAGACGTCACGGTGTTCTCTCTAGGGATGCCGCAGTAGCACGTCCCTCTCCAACAATTAGAGTTTCATACTAGGAGAAGAGGGCTTCGACTAGGACAGGTGAGACGCGAGCCTTTATGAGTGCTGACGTAGTGTGACCTTATCGTAAGACAGTTGGGTTTTATTGGTTACAAGCTCGGTATCGCTTTGCACATGTATGTGTTATCGAGACATGGACTTAATCAACGCCACTCTAGAGAGTGGTGATGCCGCGGCCCACTGACATGCAGCGTGCATGATTGTTGATCCTTCAAGTTTTGAGAATGGGGCAGACGAATCGCTTTTCGGTTGCGTGATCGGCATTTCGACCGGTCGCGGGGTTCGGTGAGTTATGCCGGCTTGATCAATTCGTGTTTTCAATATTGGCTCCCGGTACTAATGTCGAATCGATTCAATTGAACTCACGATGAGACCCAATCTTGCCAATAAAGCCATTAGGTCTACTTCAGGAAATAATGCACATACTTGAGTTGAGATAGTGGCACAAAATATTGGATTGTGTGACAGAGAGTAGGCCGATTCTGGTAACAACGAGCCTTGTGCACACTACAATGAATATGGCACGTCATCAGGCATCCAGGTTTTTAAGCATATATCTTACGTTGCTCGGAAGTGTTTGTGATATTTTAAGGCTGGGAGAATCATGAAATGCTCGGGGTTCAGCGTGGGTTATCTTGAGTGTATCCTTGAGGGCTCTGGGTGTAAATGATGCGTAGGCTGGTGATCATGCTCGTCGTCAGACAGAACTCTCAAAAGTATTACTTACAAAGCCCGGCCCAATGTGTACAACGTTGTTGGAACTCAGCACATCAGAATGCTAGTCATGAACCTTCATCTTTTAGCCTGCCATCAATAATTTGACAAATTCCAATTTACCATACCCAACCGCTGATATCTGTCTTTGGTTGTTTCGTCCGTCTTCCTATTAGCGCCCTTGCCGAGACTCCTGAATTGACTGTGCATTACTCTTGTGAACCTCTTCATACTGAGCGAAGTAGATCAGATCCCCCTTGGCAACATCGTCAGCTACAACTTGCGACAGAGGCATAGTCCAGGCTGCCGGCTGTGGCACGTCTTCAGTCATGACGCCAATGTATCGCAACGTTGCGTTTATGAAAGTCGAGTTGTAGCCACCTGCAGCGATTCTGTTCGGCTCTCCGTGAGCTGGAAGAATCTTTGATATCTGGAAGCCGGCCATTCGCTGAAGCTCTTTCTGATGGGTTGGTAGGTCTCGGGGTTGGGCGATGAATGTGGCTGTATCTTCTAGAGTATCGCCAGCGAACAGCAGTTGCTTCGATGGAATGTAGAGAACCGTCCCGTCCGGAGTGTGAACCTGGAAGTTGTGAAGCTCAACCGTCAGATTTCCAACCTTCAGCTCTTTCTTGTCGGTGTACAGATCCGTAGGTGACACGGCCGTGATGGGTGGATCGTCAGTCGCTAGACGCTGCGAGTTGCGATCGACAGTGCGCTTCGTCTTCTCGTTGCCTACAATGGTCGCCCCTCCCTGAGCGAACACGATTGTTCCCGCGATGTGATCATTGTGAAAGTGGCTTATCACAACAGACATTTTGGTTACCCCCTGGCTCTGAACGTGACGCATAACCGCGCCAGCATGATCGGGAGTGATGTGTGCGTCAAAGATGATGGCCTCATTGCCATCAATGATGGAGTATGTAGATACTCCCAGCGTGAACGCCCCATCATCCAACCAGTTTGGCTGATCTGAGTGGAAGCGTTCTCCCGTCCGTCCATCATAGTAGGCGAAGATACCAGGATATGGGTTCAGGATGCGGAGAGACTGCAACGGGTCTCCCGTTCTTGCCCTTCTCGCGCTGGATTCTTCTCAGAACATGCTTTCTGTAGCCGCCATCTCGCCAACTTACAGCAGTGATGACGCGTCCCGTGGTCCCAGCACATGGCGTCCTGCAAGCCCACACGCGCTCACCAGCGCAGAAAAGCTCAGAACAACGATCTGCTTGAAATCAGTACGGATGCAACGGGTTGATGAAGGAAGACCGTCTACTCACAGATAACATAGTGATGCCTTCGTGTAGTTCAGAATCTGGAAACAGGATTTTAGGAAGACCAAAACGGCTCTCCAGACCCTCAGTCAGTCAGTGCCACGTACTACGCTTCGCTACTCCGACCAATACGCGACATCAACACCGCAAAATGGGCTCAGAAATGCATCAAAAGTTGTTACTTGGATCGCTGGATTACTATTCTGGCCTTTATGTACTCTCTGCGGAAGAATAGCTGCATGAAACGGGCTGAAACGCTGACCGAACCTGCCGGTTGACGTTTCATCTGATGATGGTAGTCATATGCCAGCGAATACTTTAAGCTTATTGATTGCCGCCTGAACTGAAGCTCAGACATGGATTGATCTGTCGAATGACAGACTGAGTGGTTAACTCGATTTGCTACGTTCAAACAGAATGGGACATGATACCTCTCCGAATGATTTGAATATTACTGAGCTTCTCCCCCGGGTAATAAGACCAAACAAGCGCATACTGTTTCGGACCTTGAGAATCTTTGTCGAGCTGTGGAGGGCGAGCCTCAAGGACGTACACGGCTACCAAGACAATTGTGGCGACGCCCATGTTCTGATTCGAATCCAGCGCTCCTTTTTCATTCTCAATGAGTGTGCCAAATCACAAGATTGTCAACACTTACTGTATTGGAAAGTGTGACATGGTTGCAAAGACGCATTGGACGGTTCGGCTTCGGGACTCGACAGTAATACAGTGGAGCCTCATGGCAATCAATGGCAGGAAACAAAATTCGATGAAATGTATTTGAAAGCCATATATTCAAGGCCAAAACAATATGGAGTGCAAAAAAGCCTTACATCTAAATCCCTTAGGTTTGGGGATGCGGTAGTGACCATGTAATATCGAGAGGACTGTGTCCATCTTCGCCATCTGAGCAAGAGGCTAAGGCCTAGCTTGAGTTGGCATGTCTTGAACCCAGCTTTACAAGGATTTAATGGGTTTCAGTGATCTCGGCCTGCTTGTCCCCACGCATATGAATCTTTCACGGCAAGCAAGGCCTCTGAGCTTGCAACATTAGATATCTGTAAGGGGCTGGCCCCTAGGCTTGTTCAACGTAGAGGTGCCGTCGATTGACTATTCTAAGCTGAAGAAGGAAGAAAGGACTTTACAAGGGTAGGCACCTAACAGCGGTGAAGCAGGCCGGGTTAGGCGGCGTACT